TCAATCGTCATTTTGTAGAGCGTTTTTTACTACATCTTTTCTTCATAGAGACAAATTTACAACCACTTGTTTCACTATAGAAAAATTTATTATTCAAATCGAGTCAGGACTTCTGGCCCACCCTTTAAGGGAGACAACAACAAAAAACAGAAATAAACAATATTCAGAAATCTTACAGAGAAATGTTTAAATGAAATAAATTTAAAAGATAAGAAACAAAGATGAAAAATATTTAAGGCAGTAAATGTTGAGCTAATTTAAACTTTAATTCGTCTATAATTTTATTTGTTATCAATATTTTAAATTCGAGTTCATCATTCAATTTTTCATACTGTTCTGATAGACGATGCATCTCGTCGTATTTTTGTTTTCTCGTTTGACGTGAATATTTTGATGATAAATTATTTTGTTGTCGTTTGTATAAATAACGGTTAAAATCTTCGTATTTTTCATCACTAGTGCTAGTTACGACCGTCGTTATGTCTGATAATAAATTATTTTTTGAATTTTCTATACCAGAAGGTAATGTTTGTTGAAATTGCTGCTTCTTTTTTACACCGTTTTCTGATTTATGTTCATAAAGATGATCGTGTTCAATAGCTTTTAACGACCTTTTTTGTTTAGATTGAAAACAATTTTCCATCTAGATAACAAATAAACATATGTTTCAGAGTAGTACTGAGAGAAAAACAGTAACTCACGAGTGATATATAGTCGACGAATGAAGGCGACATTTTTTTACATTAAGTTGACATTGCCCAGATTCAACGCTAATATAGTATGAACCCGGATTTACCGAATGCTTGCGATTTATTATTAGGATTTGATTTAGTATTTAGTTTAATACCATTAGAAACTATATGCTTGAATATGATACATAACTGAGTAACCTAAGCAGGGGCGACTATCTTGTGGGACGTTTCAGGCACAATGCCTCAAACAAAAGTACAATGCCTGGACGCTATTTTTTGCTGTAAAAATTCATTTTCTAGGTGATACACTGATGGCTTGAGCTTCTGAGGTGGTACAAAAGGCCTAAAATGCTTAGGTGAGGATAGACGTCGCCGGCCCTAAGGTTTATTTCATATAAAAATCATGCTGTACATTGATTTTCAGTCGATTAAACCATTACTGAACATGATTTAACTTTTCTTCAAATACACACTTTTCTTTTGAAATGATTATGAATGCTTCCACGCAGCTCATATCACTGTTTACACGACATCAGCCAGGCAAGATCTCACTATGTGCGCCTTGTAGCCCGTATCACATTATACAGAAAGTCGTATGTCGGCTTTGACGTTCGAATTGTTTGTTTGTTCGAATACGATAAGAACGAGCTTCAAATCACTTTCATGCAGTAAACAATACGGTTCACTTACTTTTAAAAATTCATGAGCTCCTCTCTTGACTGCATGTCACCTTTCAAAATATTATTATCTTAGGTATTAACTGAGTAGTTGTACAGAAACCGATAAGTTTCAGTGTATCCAGGCAAATTTTGAGATCAGTTTCTAGAAATTGTTTACAGAACCCGGACTCCCTCGATAGATTTAGGGAGAGTAAAAACCAGTCAACTATGGAGTATATATGACACTGAGCACGAATTTGAAATCAAATCTGGTTACCTTTGACATATAATATTAGAGTTATGGAGAGAAAAAGATGATGCTTCAAGGTGCACATACTAAGATCGAATTGATATCGTGTAAAAAAGATGGAATGAGCTGCATGGAAACAGACATAGTTATTTCATCTAGTTTCTCCTGTTCAGCAGTAGAGTATTTTTTAATGAAAAATTCGTATGGTGCGTTAGAGAATGATGTGATATCTCATACACATATATACCAATTACATCTCTTCTTTTATTTGTTGTTCTCTAATACAAATACGTCGTACGGTTTCATAAAAATATCGAAGCACATGTCATAAGTACTAAATATTAAAAATACAGCAGCAATAAATAAGTGTTTCTTTGTCTAGTTTTATCACAGAAAAATGACAAGAATATGAAACATATTAAATAACACTAAGTAGATGAATAATAAAAATATGCAATAAACAAATTTAGTTAAGAAACAAAATACCTCAAGACAAGTCAATTCATCCACAAAAAACACGTTTAAATTAGACACGAAGGAGTAATGAAACATTTAAACAAATAAACGTATTTTTTATGTTAAAAATCAGTAATCAGAGGGGTTTTATCGCTCATCAGTTAAAAAATCAAACTAAACATGTGACACAAGTTCATAAAAAACGGTCCCGTTATAGCATTAAAAACAGAGATCATTTTATTTTGATATCACTAGGATAAAAACATTGGACTAGTGCAAACGGTTAAGGAAACTAAAAACTGCCTTCTCACCGGTGATAAAGATATTATAACTATACAAAAGAACTTAAACGAAATATGAAAAGTAGAAGTATTAACATACACACAAAGAAAACAAAACAAAGCGTTGAATAACCGTCCAGCAGTCTGCTTCGTTTAGCAGAGACATATTGTTTTAATTCAGAGCAAAAAAAAAAAAAAAAAAGATTTTATATATTTTTTGTCTACTTTTCTACTTTTTTGTTTTTAAAAATAATTTTTTACAATTTTTTTTGTTCACTTTTGACTATACTGTACACACGCAAAATCAATCGAAAAAGAAAAATATGCGCTAATGTTCATATAAGCTAACGTTTAAATATGGAAAATATGTCATAACCAGAACTAGTCAAGTTAAAAACGAGAAAACAAAGATATTTGTGGAGGGATACTGATACTATAGAAAACTTCTTGAATATTTCTAACAATTAAAAGAAGAAAACAAAAATCTTTTCACATCACCAATACAAGTCAACCTTGCTGAATGAAACTAGAAAACTACTCAGACCTATCCTCGGATAATCACCTATATGACACATATATGCACACAAAAAAGAGAAATGTACATGAATCGTGATTATCACTAGAGGTTAATACTGAGTTTCTGTTTTATTAACTGTAGCCGTTTGAAAACTTCGTACTAATCCAACTTTCAATTCGGCTGTTACTGTTTCTAATACAGAAATTTTTCTTCTTAATTCTTCGTTTAATTTTTCATATTCATTACATTTATCGTCCATCTCACCAAATTTTTGTTTTCTAGCTGCACGTGAACTTTTTGATGCCATGTTGTTTCGTCGTCGACGTTCCAAATAATGATTTAAATCATCTGCGGTTTTAACATCATCAGCACAATTTATACTATGAGATTTGCGTGAACGTTTAGTTCTTGATGACACACAAGTATCTGACGACGATGTTGTTATTGCTGATGTTTGAATTGCATTTGAACCAATTGATGATGCTGATTCAAGTCGTGTACGAGAACGACGACGTTTTCTTGATGTTGATGTTGGCATCTTTTTTGACATAAATGCATGATCATGTTCAATGGCTGTTAAAGCGGCAGCATCAAACAAAAAACGGTGAGATTGTGAAGCCAACGAGGTAGATGGAGGTGGTGTGGGAAGTAATTGAGGCGCATCAATTTTAATTGTTTCAAGCGTATTTAATTGAGTATAGGTGGGTGGATATGCATAGTTTTCACATTCAGTTTTCAACTGAAAATCATAGCTTTCGGGATCAGATGATAACGGAAAAAAATCGGTAATCAAATCAGGTGATGGTGTTCTACGAATGGGTAAAATATGGTGAACAACACCAACAGTTGGAACAGAAGAGGGCAATGGTTTAAATTCATTTATGTTTGTTGATGAAATCAATTGATCGATTGACATAGAGTCATTCTGAAATGAAACACAAAAGGAATGGTAGAACAAACATTATTTCAAGCATATTGAAAGAAGAGCACTAATTTAAGACTTCAGAAATGATGATTCGCGGTCAAAAAATTGATTTTGAGATAAGCACATGGAAAGTTAGCTTGAAGTGTCTACTTTCAGAATCTCTATTGCTTTCGGTCCTATAAGTGATTTTTTGTGGGTTTCGAGCGAGTTTTCTAGGAACCTCGAAATACACGATCTTCAAATAATAGTTTTTTCCTGTACATACCTCAATATCAACTGAGTTGAGTAATTTGACTGAGCCTAAATTGGCTAATTCGTCCAAAGTAATATCATCGTGGTATGTACTTAATAGACGATGCAAATTAAATTGTTGTATGTTGTCCAAATTAAATGATGTGTTGCAAAATAAATCATTTAACTTGTCTGGTGACAACATATTTTCTAAATCTAAAAAGAGAAAAATACAAAATAGAGATATGTTCTATTCATTCTTCAGTAAAATACCACTTACCGATGTTAAATCGGCCACTCGTCTTCGTCAGTCCACGTAAAAGAAGGCTGATTGTTCGTTCGCCGAGTGGTTGAACATTGCCATTGATCTCCTCGTCCTGTATTATAACCGTCGATGTTGTTGAGTCTGAGCGAGTCAACATCGGGGGTTGATTGTCCAAGTTCGAAATTGTCGTTGTCAAAGATAGATTGTTGTTGGTTTCCGACATTATTTTGATCCTCTTCTTCACGCAAGAACATGCTCTTTTTCAAATAATAATAATAGTAATAATAGTATGAAAAAAAAGAGAGAGAGAAAAATATTTGTTCGAATAATGCGACGTGGTGTGGTATGTTTTTCTTTCTCTTTTTTTTTTCTTTTGCTTTCAAACACAATGCATATTGTCGAGTGAATGAAAAGATATCACGACTGGACACAACCTTTACCTAAAAAGAAATCATATATATATATAAAACATTGCAAAAAAAAAAGAATATTATGCGAAATATGACAGAGGAGAATAAAAATGACGGATAATAATTTCACTTGAAATTAAAGGAAAAGTCAACAAAACAATTTTTTCCCGTTTTATCAGGTATATAGCGTGCACATTTTTGAGAAGACAGTAGTGAGATGTAAAAACAACAAAGAAACGTTAAAAATATAATCGAAATTATCAAAAAGAAAAAGAAATTAAAAAATTTCCCATTCTAGTGTAAATATTTTCGTATTATTGAGACCTAAGAATGTGGGAGTAAGATGAAAATAAGACGTATCTCACTCTATGAGTAGAATGGATAAATATTTTTAAAAAACAGAAATATTAGAAGAAAGCTGACTATGTCTCTAAAGAATCAATTATTGTTTTCAATCATACATATTCAATCTAATATATCGATTTCGCTAGATTAAAGATTATTTGAAAGGGATAAACTCTCATAAAATGTTTCAAAACTTTGTCCAGATCAATTTAAACTGTCTTAGGCAATAGGACAATATAAAAATGAACTACAATTTAGTGACTAATCTTTTCATTATAAAGCAAAAAACAATATACACACATAACCTCCAAGCTCAGATTAAAAGATAATACCTTATAGTAATTTTGTAATTATTGTTATATATATGTTTTTATACATTTATACGTCAATAATTTTGTCTTGTATTATGCGGTAAATATATATATATATATCGCCGATCGCCGGTAAATTTCAGCTAGATATTCATCAGATATAATAAAAAGAAGAACAAATTCATTTTTGTGTTCGGCTTTTATTGGGAAGACTTTTTTCTCGTTTCTCTCTTTCATGAGTCATTAGATCATGAGTCAAGAAGAACGAAAAAAAAGAAATCCGTATAAGGATAGAAATAGAGAAAAAGAAGTCAATGTATAACTAGTTTTTTTACTGGATTCAATAAATGATAACCCTCGAAAAAATCATAGATACAATCATAATGACGACATCTAACCAAATAGGTTGCTAGACAATATGTCTATTTTATATGTAACTAACCTTTATTTGACGATTAACACATTTTCTCTTTTTTTTTTTTTTTATTTATAGAAAAAAAGGTATAAAGCCAAAAATTTCCCCATAAGAAAATGGGGAAAAAGAAAAGAATGTTCTTTCTTTTAGAATAATATCGAATTAACAATCGTCTATCATTTTGTATGTGTCGTCTATCATTGATGATTCATTGGCTTTCAGACGTGGCAACACGTAGGTACCTTTTACACTCTTTGCACACGTATTTAATTTACATTTACAATCAATGTTAAAAGAAGGTTTATCATTAGTAAATTGGAAAAAGTGATAATATTTGCAAATTGAAGATGCAAGGTATCTTAATTACCTCGAGGAAGATTTATTTATTTTAGATATGTTTTCATCAAACTGTTTATTCGTTTCTTTGTGGCCATGTTATTGCGCAAGCAAACGACATTTTTGGCATCAAAAGCGGTTGATTTTCGCAACATTTTTTAATCATCAACAGAAGCAATACACACGCACGCTACGAACAAAAAGTGCCCGAAGAAGTGCTTTTTATAAAAACAGATTTTGATGAACAGCTCTTTATCAAAAGCAGCACTTCTATAAGCAATTGGACAGAAGCACTTATTTTTGTTCTCTCAAATAGGTCATTTAGATAGAAAAAGCTTTCAGAAAAGTGTCCCTTACAGCACAGTTTTTGGAAAAGTGTCCCAAAAGAAAGCACTTTAAGGGAGAAAACGTTTATAAAAATGATTTACTAGAACGATGTTGACAATCGCAACAAAACTGATGTTTTATCAGTTTAATCCCACCTAACGTCTTGTCCTGTCTTTCATCTTCTATGGCGTCCTGCCCAAGAACTTTCGCCAACAGAAATTTTAGTTTAAGCCTATATTTTTCTTCTAAAAACGCTCACCAAAGTGTGCTGAGAAACTGAAACGCGACTTCTTCAAGTCCATCTTTAGCCAATAGAATGTAAAGTGTTTGCGGAAAAAATGAGGTCAACACGAGAGACTAGAAAAGGCTTTTTTATAGTTTTACTTTAACCTTGTTTGATTTCTGTAGGCCATATAGTTTATTGGAACAGCTTGCAGGGGGTCGTGTCACAAAAAAAACTTAAGTCATAGACGCATTTTTTGAATAGATCAGGTATTTAACGATACGACGAAAACGATATGCTAACGATTAGAGAATAAATATTTCGTTATTTTGCGGATTTTTATCCGACGTTTGTCACTGTTGTCAACGACTTTTAAAAAGTGAACAAATCGCCAACTTAAGTCTTTTTCGTGATACGGTTTAAGTCCTCGGACTTAAGCCGGTGACTTAAGTTTTTTCGTGATACGACCCCCAGAGCTTTGAAAAACAATAATCCACTTTCAACTGGTTGTCAAACTGCGTTTTCTTAAACGCTCTACAATTTATGTAATAAGAAAAGACGCTACAGGCGCCTTATTCTTTGATAGTAATCACTGTCAGAGACAAAAGAGGGATACTAGTATCAGAGTTGTCAACTATTCTGATTTATCACAATTTTTCTAATTTTGAAGAATTTTTTTGGATCGTTTTCGGATTCTTAACTTTTTTAGTTAGTGCTGGAGAAGGTGATTTCTGCGGAAAAGGCTGACGTAACATCGTTATTTCCTTCTAGCTCCAAATAGTAGCTTCAAGGAGCCAGGATCAATGCGAACTGACACAGGTAGTCTCTCCTTGGAGCTAAAAGGGAACAACGACGTAACGTCTGCATGTTGTCTACACTGCTTGAGTTATTGGTTTGATTGGATGTGCTCGACTCCAATCATAACACTATTATCTTCACGAATGATAGGATTGTCGGTAATGAGACTGCAAACGACCAGCGAACCTAAAAGTGACTACCGCGTAAAGCGAGATGAGATTGAGTTTTAAATGGGTTTAGTAGTTTAAGAACGAAAAAAACTTATTTTGGAACATAAACAACACTTTTTAGATTAACTCGTTTCTTAAATGTGTGCGAGCTGAAGCTTCTTTCTCCTATGTTTTGAGCAAAAAAATACGTCTTCTGATTTTGGACGCTTTATTTTTCTGATTTTTAATGATTTTTTTTTCTGTCTTCTTAGCTATTGGGTTGACAATCCTGACTAGGACGTGAAGGGACATTAAAGTAGTCGTACAGTGTATTTTAGAAAAAGGTAGAAACTAATAAAAAAATGGCTCTTTTTTTCTCCAGATGTTTGCAGAAATTTCATAACCATTAACTGTTAATACATTGTAAATAAAACGACAATGATTTGACCTTTTCTGCACCTAATACTATTCTCTATTTTTGTATGGTATTGACTAATACTTGTTGTGAAAGTTAATAAAATTAATGTACGGTGGCATTCAAATTGACTTTTTAATACACTTATGTATCAGATTTAAAAGTGATCTCAATCTGGAATAAGAGCATTTGTTCTTTTCAGACAATTTATACACTATAATTTCATGTTACTTTGTATTATGCAATATCTCTATCTAAGGTTGCAACATTGCATACATTGCAACATGCATTTCATCATCCTATTTCATAAGACCTTTATCATCTTCTATTGTCTTCAAAACTATAAATACGTTTATTTTCTACTTAGAGATTAGAGTGTAAGATTTTACATGTTTTAGGTTTTTGTCAGGAACGTAACAAGTAAATCGGGATGACTCGTATCCTGATTAATAGGATCTGTAGTTTTTCCCATAGCAGAATGCTTTTCTGATTCAAATTCCTATAACTTCTGCAAATCTATATATTTTTCGTATTACAACTAAAAAAGTCCAGGACATGGTGTATTATATGAAAGTTATTTCTATCATTTAAAACGTTCAAGAAAATAAAAAGATGTGTTGAATGATCTCCGGTTAATTCAAATAAAGAAAAACTATTTAAATGAAAGTTTGGATATAGAAGCGTATCAAGTAATACTATGATAATTAAGTTACCACTACAAAACTGTATTAGATAATGATTGTAATGCAAAAGACGATGATGATTGTCTCGTTTGTTTTGTCTGGTATTGTTAAAATATACACAGTATATAAAGTGTGTAAAAACACTAATTCTCTATTCCAGATGGAGACCACTTTTTAAATCTAATAAATAAGCATGTTAAAAAAGGGGTTCAAGCATGAAAGTGCTCTGGGGTCGTATCACGAAAAAACTTAAAAAGTCTAAGTTTAAGACCGACTTAAGTCCGGGGACTTAAATCGTATCACGAAAAAGACTTAAGTTAGCGATTTGTTTACTTTTTAAAAGTTGTTGACAACAGTAACAAACTTTGAATAAAAACCCGCAAAATAACGAAATATTTATTCTCTAATTCTTAGAATGTTGTTTTCGTCGAATCGTATCGTTAAATGCCTGATCTATTCAAAAAATGCATCAATGGCTCAAGTCTGACTTAAGTTTTCGGTCTTAACTTTAAGATTACATTTCCCATGACTTACGTTTTTTTGTGATACGAACCCCTGGTTTCTTACACTGTCATTTATCATAAGAAGTAGGATGGAGCCTAAATATAAACTCAGATAATGTTTTAATTGGCTCATCATAATTTTAATATATGTTTTATATCAATTTATCGTTTCTTTCTCACATCTTAATATCGATAACAATACATTTTTTGTTGTTTATTTCAAGCATCCCCTCAGTATCCTTGGCAAACAAAAAAAAATCCATAAATATGCTCAAATTTCTATTTTATATAATATGTTTATGCTTAGAAAATATTTATGTGAAGTGTTCAATTTACAAAGAAAAACAAAAAAATGTCTGTTCACTACCTGGAGAAAACGAAACGTAGAATTTTCTTCTTTTCTTAAATGATACCATGTTAAGAATAACATTCCGTTAAAAAGAGATATACTCGAACTTGGATTCTGTTCTGTTAAACAATTTGAAAAAGCTTGACAAGAGGTCTCATGTCATAACTTGAAGAAATGAATACTATCAGCCAGCATAACATCATTCAACTACAGAAGTATTAAAACCGAAAAATGTACCTATTCAATGTCATCGAAAAGAAAAGAGAGACATGAAAAAATAAGTGAAGTTGTTGATGTCTTTAAAAACAATTTTTTATTAATGGAACCATTCTCTGTCTTCAGAAGAAGTACTTTGTGCGAACAAGAATTCTATAATGTTTTCTAATAATCTTTTCCATTATATACAATATTCTCTTTACATAACAATCTGAAAATATAAAATTTCAAACAGTTCACAATAATTAGATAAATTTTAATTTGGTGAAAAAAGTGTATTAAAAATTAGCCACTTCAATTAGCCGAACAAGAACGTTGTCAGATTGCGCAAATTTATATTACTTCAACCTCAATTCAGTTTTATTTTTAATAAACCACCAACATCCATATGTAACTAGGAAACCATTACGCTATGTTACCAAAAGGGTTTATTTGACCTCCGTTAGAAATGCCAGTCCACTATGATTAGATTTCAACCATCGGATTATTTTGTAAAGTATTGATTCAGATATTACTCAGTTTAGCCGTTTCTCCACCATATGGTTTTGTATGTGGGCACGAAAAATCAGTAGATTCTGTAGAATCTAGTGGCTCCTTATATTTCTAAATATATAGTAACAGAAATTGAGTAGAACAAGCTGATCTCAGGTTGAATTTTGAAGAGCACATTGTTCTTCACAAGATAAGAAATTTCTCAATTCTCTACAATGCTTCGTTTAGGTTTTATTAGACAAATAAAACCGTTGACGTATTGATCCCTCTGATAGTAGAATTACGCAATTTTCACGAACTGCATCTTTGAAAATATAGTATTTTTGCTTAAAATTATAATTCGATTTTAGTAGTCGGGTGGAAAAAAACGAATTAGACATTGTTAAAACTACACACTTATCATGAGTAACTTACATTATCAGAAAGCTACAATTTGACTTGACTTCGATAAACGAGTATTATATGAAAATGACACAACTTGTACTGCGGCCCAAATTCAACATACTGGTTATCTTACTCTATGCTCTATCTGTGAGCTATCGAGACGCCGGCCAGTCTCAACATATGTTATTTCAGTAAATAAAATTTAATTGGAGTTCATTATGTTTATACATACAGAATTTCTGTATAATTATTCATCCACCTTCTGGTATGGCTTTATCGTCAAAGCAAAACATACGACGTAAAAATTTCTGAATCAAAATAACATTTTGCTTCTTCAAAAATAACTTACACTTAATGTATATTTTGTAACACGTATTTCATTTTATTTGGCTGAGTTGATCATAAAACAAATATCAACGAGGCAATTTGTTCACCAATATTTCTTTCAATAATAATTATTGACAGTTAAAACATATACAAATGTACAAATAATAGTCATTCAATTTCACTAATTTAATTGTATATGATAGAAAATCTATCATATACAATTAAGTTTGCCATCTAGACTATTCATCAAAATATAAAATTTCCAGTTTCTAAAATAAAACAATAAGATAAATCGATCAACTTTGAAATTTCTAACAAATTCCATTACTATTAATGTCATATTACTTCAACCAATTTCAAATCGAATACTAGTACTTTATTTTTAAAATTAAACTCTATAAATTTTCCTAATGCCCAACGCGTCATCTTTAAAAATTTTGGTATATAATATTAATCTAAATATTTCGGAGAATAAATGCCATTTTGATTTTGTTTAATCTTTTCTCAGTCGGCCCTTTTTTTAAACACGGCAAAGAATGTTACCATATGGCAACAGGCGGGCGGAAAGGATTAATTGCTATGTGTAAAAAAACTAACTTATTTTTTAATATTCACCGTTTCAGTTTAAACAATTGTATTCTTCAGATCTCATCCATATTTTCTTCGATACATTTTCTGCAAATATTTTCAATCAAAAATCAGAAAGATGAAGTAAAGAAACTGAAGCTCAAGAAACGGTAAATTGTTATTCAACTCTACTTACTTGTTACTATGAAGAAATGATAAATGTGAAATTTTCTTCTAACCAAAAACTTCTAACCAATAATTTGAACTTTAATTACTTTTTTCTCTTCTTATAAATGTTCATTCAAATCTGTTTCTTCCACAAATTCCTTACTTATACCAATAAGAAAACAAATAAGCCTATAATTTGGATTTTTTTGCAACACAATTGAAAAATACAACATAAAAAAGGCCGTTACTCGTGACGAAAATTAAACACAAAAAGAACAACTGTAAAAAAAAAAGAATGTGAAGCAATGGGCCTTTTCTACGCACACATACATACACAAACACATTAATTTGAGATTTTATACAGTATAAAAAAACGGATATGCTTGTCCTTGATCGATTTGTCAAAAAAAAACCTAATTTTGTTCAATTTATATTGTTGTTGGTTTTATTTCCTGTACATCCTTTTTTTGTTCTTCACTATCTTTAGGAACATCTTCTAGATCTGGTAAAGCTTCATCATCACTATCCATTTCATTTTCATCATCTAAATCATTTAAATCTGCTTGTTTACCGTAATTGCCCATTCCACCTGCGCCACCCATTTGTTTGAACATACCATCTAGGCAAGGAAAAAGAAAACCCTTGAATTTGTTTTCAACTCCAGGCACAGAATGCATCTACAAACCTAAATCACCCCAATCTTTTCCATCGGCACCGGCTTCCATATCATCTTCGTCATTGCCGTCGTCATTGTATTTATCTAAGAACATAATTAATAACACCATTTGGCCATGAACAGATTGGAAAATACGACTTACCCCAGTCAACGGTTATCCATGAAACCTAAAAGACAAAATATTATATTATATGAAGACTAGTTAAACGCGTATAAAAAAACATTCCTAAATAAAGTCAGCCTTCTGTAGTCAAGACAGGCGTACTTACTTTATTTGTTGGTTTGACTAGACGTTTCCAGAATGGTTTCGATGTATCTTTCTTCTAAAAAAACGAGACAGAAATATGCAATAATCAATAAATTAGAAAATATGCTTTAGACGGAACTGACCTTCAACATGAATTCCCAATGACTCTGACCAACACTTCTGTATTTTGATACCTAAGTTTCAAATAAATGTAAAAATATGAAACTCAGAAGATTTAACTTCTTATAGAGATCAACACGAGCAAGGTATTTTTTTGTACCCATGTAGATCTGTAATTCTCACTTGTGGATCGATTTCTTCAAAAAACTCGAGTGTAGTGTCATATGACGGACCTTCTTTCTGTTTCCCTCTGAAGAAGAAAATTCATTTAAAAATAGTCAGACCCACCAGAACAATTAGGAAAGAGGAGTATTATGAACCCTAAGAAATAGGAGTCTAGGAGACATTTAGCTCGTTAGTAGTACGTACTTGAAATGAAGTTTCGCTGGTTCAATTTGAATCTCAGGTTTTTCAATATCTTGAACAGCAATTGTCAAAAGTATAGAGTCTTTTTTTTGAGCCCATTTTACATGTGGATTTGTCCTATATAAATGAAATGAAACATACCTTAACTTCTACGCACTAGTCATCCAAATTAAGTAAAACTGGCTTACATTTTATCTTAATGATTTGAGCGATGATGATGATGATGATAAAACTATCTATAAGAGAAAAATCAAACGGTCAAGAAAAAACGTTCTTGATACGAACGTTTCACAAATTAAATTAAGAAAAAATCTAGGGTGAGTGAACTTGAATCGGGTTTTCTTTCATTCTGTTTCGAAAAAACTGGTGTTTTAAAGTACAACTTTATTTACTAAATTTGTATGTCATGCAGTTTACAGTTGATAACTAACTACACTTATATCATGCGTAAGATATACTTAGGAGTAAATTAGAAAGTGGTAAACAGGTAGAAAGAAATCTTACATTTGTCTTTAATAAGTCATCAGAACATGACATGGTCAAGATAACTTACAATGTGACATTAAAAAAAGTAGACTAAGGGTAAAACACTTATTACATTATATTAATTTTGTTATGTTTATAACTTATGGATGATGATTGGCTACATATAACCAATGAGAGGAAAAATTCATTGTTAAATAAGCGAAACTATAGGGGTTAAAGTAAAAAGCCGATGAAGCTGTCTCCAATCAAAAGGTGTGTCTTGTAAAAGCCAGAAGTTAAAAGAAGTTATACGAAAACATTTATTTTTATGGAAGAACTAATGCCAGTCACCGCCAACACAAATTCTCCGCTGAAACAATTAGGCATCGATGTTCAGGGGGTTGTATTACGAAACGTCTTCAGTTAGGCATAAGCCTAAACCGAGGCTTAAGTCACAGTTAAGTCCTCATCTTCGTATTACAAAAAAACGTAAGTCATTGATGCATTTTTCGAATAGCTCAAATATTCAACGACACAATTTGATGAAACTTTTTAAGAAGGTTTAGAGAATAAATATTTCTTTGTTTGCCAGATTTAAATAAATCTAGCATTTTCTATTTTAGTTCTAATATAGATTTAGGAGATGATGTAGTGTTTATATACTTTTTTCTTCGTATGTCATTTTGCCAATGAGAAGGAAAGATCATTTTAAGTTTTTTCTTGTGATTCTTACTCGTTTTTGAGCGCAAAAACTTCTGAGCAATTATTATCCATTAGCAAAATCAATAAACGCTTTTACCATTACTTAGTTACTTGTGGTTCTACCGATAGATATACATAATATGTTAATTATACGGTGAAACGATGTCGTTGTTAGGGGCTAAGATGTTTTTTAGACAGAATTTCGTGAGTTTTAATACATCTCATTCAATTAACATCCATTAAAAATAAATTTAAGCATGCGCAGCTGTTAGGAGATATAGACCGTATTATTTGATCTCTGCCTGTAATCTTGAACCAGAACGAAATCGAGAATATAAATTCTCATTATATCATTCTGAAACTTAAACTTATCAAAACACAAAATCAATCCTTGCACGAAGCTAGGATCGAACACACGAACTTGATCTTTGCAGGCGAACTGCAAAAATCAACCTCGCTGTTCTTTCCTATATTCTGCACAATGATTGAAGTTGTGCAATGACTCGATGTTATCCTTCAATGTATATTTTTTATTGTGTTTTTGTGTTCTGTTTTTGGTTTAAGCCTGTAATCTTGAACCAGAACGAAATCGAGAATATAAATTCCCATTATATCAAAATTCTATTGCTCATTAATTTAGGTACACTTACTCCCGAAACAATTTTGTTTGTCTCTTGCTTGTGATGTTTTTGCACAATAAAATTATGTCCCAAGAGTAGTAGATAATGACTCATACTTCAACGAAGAATTCACGAAAGAAAGTACTTTTTCTCGATGGCAGTTAGATTATAAATGATAAAACTTGTGCGTAAACTAGACAGACAAAACGTTTTTCAACACCAATATTTGAGAAATTTCAATTTCTTAAAATTAGTGAGAAATCGATAACTTCTCATTTTACCGAATCAGAGTGGCCTTTCTGTCTGCATTAAAATCATGCGATTTTTTGGATTTCATACTGCTAGATCAAGTCTTTTTTTGTTATTAGATATTAGTTTTGATGTAGATCTTGATTCAACTTATAAAATCAATTTTATCGTAAATATGTTTAATATTGTATGCTGGTATTGAAAAACACACTAAGTGGTGCCATACATCACCAACGAGAATAGGATTACGTTCCATAATGTGCTCTACACAAAACGACCCCGATAAAACTTTATCATCATTGGTGTCTCACAATGAAAAGGAAATGGATTTATCTCGTGTAAATATTCATCAAACAACTTCTTTTGATCCCTCATCAAACCAACAACAGTCTCAAAATTTCTATTCAGACAAAAATAACATCCAAGCATTCGGTTCACAGACAGTTCGAATACCATCACAACAACAGCAACATTATTTAACAAATAATTCTCAATCATCAAACGTGTTCTTTTCACCGTATCAACGACTCACTCCCTCTAATCGTTTTTTCAACGATTATCGCCATCATTCCTGGAATAATTCAAATAATTTTAATTCAATGCGAAAACCAAGGCATTCATTTGAGAACTGGTTAACAACAGATGAATGGGATTATGACAATGATTATGGACAGAGAGTAAGATGTAAGTATGATATCATTTCTCATTTTCTACTAGAAGAAAATCTGATTAAAGTTTTTCTGGTTAATTTCTATTGAATGAATATAACGATTGTACGAAACAGTCAGAAATAGAGGTGGGCATGTGCGACCATTTCCGAGTCCAAGTCAAGTCCGAAAAAAAAAATTTGTTGACTAGTTGTTTCTTAATATAACCAGAGTTATTCTCAGAATTTGTAGCAGTCGATACCATTTTTTGATTATCTAAGACAAAAAGTGAGACAATTTTTCGTACTACGAACGTATTTGTACAGTGTTAAATAAAACAGTTTGTTGAATGTTTAATTCAATTGTTTATTCCGTTATATGTATCCATTGTTCTTCATCAGTCTGCTCTGTTTAATTAGTCATTCGAGTTTTTAGCAGAAAAGGAACAATCTACAGTCATTTTTTTCTGTCGTCATACGATGAATACATAAAGTTTAGTCATTATTATACATTAGATTACATGTTTAATAAAAAAGAGATTATATTACATTTAAGATTACACTGACTTCGTTCTTGAGTATGATAGATTCTAACTGGACTTTAAACGGACGTGATAAAAAACTTTCGATTTCAAGTCAAGTCCAAGTCTAGCAACAAATGCTTCAAGTCTGGACTTGTATTTGCCCACCTTTGGTTAGAAATGCTTAACGTATAATTTGTTCCTGCTTGATAAAAGAAGTCTCTATTGTGTAGCAACTATTTAATATTTTTGTGTTTCCCATAATTATAACAGATCTCCGGCTGTCACGGTAATTGTCTCATTTGCGCTTTTTCTTCAGTTGAAACCCAATTACCCAAACGAAAATGGACACAAGTACAGCTTGAACAAAAATTTTCTCACAGAAATCATTTTACCTTTAAATTAATCAGTTTCAATGTTCTTTCTCAAGATTTATTAGAAGCAAATGGTTATTTATACGCCGATTGTATATCAGAGTATCTAGACTGGAATTATCGGAAACATGTGATTATAAAACAGATTGTTGATCATCATGCAGATGTAAGAATAACAGATAATTAAAGGGAAAAACTATCACCAATAATTAAATTCAAGTTGCCTTCATTTTACAGATCGTGTGTTTGCAAGAAGCTCAAGAAGATCATTATGAAAAATATTTCCGTGTAAAACTGAAGGAACATGGTAAGAAACTTATGTTATTATTTACTAATAAATCTAAAACCATAAGATACAGTTGGTGTGGGAGCTTTGACTTTTATTTGCATTTTTTAGGCTACGAATCATTATTTATAAAACGATCAGGAGGAAAACCAGATGGTATATTCATTTTTTCTTTTAGAAGATGGTTAATGCTTGATTACTTTTTATTTTAAAATTTAGGTTGTGCTTTGTTTTATAAAACTGATCGATTACAACTCATTGATCATAAACTTGTTCCATTTCATTGTCCAACAATTGAGCTATTAGACAGGTATGCATTATGGTTGTAGCAGATAACAGTTCAATTGTTACAAATTTCTTTTTTCATATCGTTCATTATGTATCGATAAAACCATTTTCCTTGTGTTGTACAAGAGTTAAAAATAGAAAATTAAGTTATTCTCTAATGTTGTTTAGATGTCTATTCTTTAATATTTTGTTTAGAGATAATGTTGGTCTTGTGGCATTATTTCGACCTAAAACGAGCCGTAGTTCATCTGATGATGCTTTTTGTGTTGCTTCTACACATTTACTGTTTTCACCTAAACGTGGGGACATTAAACTAGCTCAATTACAATATTTTCTTGCTGAAATTGATCGCATTTTAATAAAAGACGATAATATCAATGTTGAACCAACATATTATCCAATTATACTTTGTGGTGATTTCAATTGTCAACCCTATTCACCATTATATCAATTTTTACTCGATGGCTACATTCAATACAATCAATATAAACGGAGTGAAATATCGGGTCAAATATTATCAAATTGTTATTCGCTCAATTTACCATCAAATGAACTTTTACCGTCATATTACGTTCGATCTGACTGTCGATTTCCAACTAAAACAAAAACAATTGATATTATTGAACAGAAAACAACAAATATTGTGTTAGACGATGAAAATCAAGATGAAATCATAGAAAAAAAAGACTGTATTCAATTCAGCGAGTATCTAGATGCGAATAATGTCGACAATCCATCAGCAGTTTTAATTCATAATAAAAAATTTCATTCTGTTTACGAACATTTCAACCGTTCTAACATACCTGAAGTAACAGCACATATCAATCATGAAAGTCACAACATGGACTTCATCTTCTACACAACCGGTAGTAGTGGACAGAAAACGGCAGCCATATCAACTAATGAACAACAAAAAACGACAATCAATGATCGTTTATATTTACTTGGACGTTATAATTTATATTATCAAAATCAATTACGAAATGTACATTTGCCAAATTGGCAATTTGGTTCTGATCATTTTTTATTATTAGCTAAATTCGCTTTAAAATTACAACATGTTTAAAAAAGATAGAATAACTTTTTTTGTTATTGTATTTTGTTTGATTATTGACTTTCTTTTTACCCAGTGCTTTCGAACAGTTGAAAAATATTTTTTTCTACTAGCTATGAAAAAGCTATATTTGTTTGTATTTCATTGTTGAATATTACTTTTTGTAATTTATAAGCGTTTTGATTGATCTTTTTTTTTCTATCCACTTCTTTGTTTTTATTTAAATCAGCATTGTCAATGGGAGAAAATACTTTCGGTAAACAGGTACCACAATGCAGGATTCTATATGAATCCTTTAAGTGTCGAAACTGTACCCTATTATCTGTTTTTATGGTATTATTTGATCTCTTGTAGATTAAAAAAATGAGTGATATTGAATCATTTGTAATGAAATATTGAAAACAGAAATCTCTAATTAGAACGTTAGAAAGAAATATTTCAATCAATTTATATGTTTAAGAAAAAACCGAACAAATGTCGCTGAATTTTCTGTTTTAACGAAATATTAAAAGGATAATTAGTCAAATATTTGAATAAAAAAAAGTGTTTGTGTAAATAATACATATTTTGATAACACATACTGAAATATCAGTTTCGGTTCATCTATATCTATTCAAAAGGAACTTCTTTTCAGATAGAATTCATGCATTCAGAGCTTGAACAATTTCACTGTTTTAGGTTATATATTGAATGCATGGCTAGACGAGCGGGCTCGGAAAAGAAATAGGGTTCAATATATCCTTCAACCAATGTTGAACGAAGTTCCACTTCAAAGAAAATTAGACAGTAAAAATTGGATGTAACGGGATTCATCATGTTTGTCTTTCGATACCATTTTGTGGATTAAGTGTTTGACTAGCCATTTGAAATTTTGAGTATAACAATAATAATTAAGCAAAGATTTAAATTGCAAATGACAGAGAATTTGATTTTCAATAGTATAATGAGTGCACATTCTCTTTGCCTAGATAATTCACGAACCAACGGTTCTTACTTTTTTCACATGCGTGAGACGATTCCAGGATGACAATTAAATTTAATTGGGAGCTTTTTGAAAGCGCTAGTGAACAAAAATTCGAAATTAATATTGTCCTTTTTCGTATTTAATAGTTATTTTCAGATTTGTTTTCGCTCTTTCGGCTTTTATGTTATCATATTCAATTCGTACGTGCTTTTTAACGCTTGCTTTTCATCGTCATCCTTATTTCAGACTATATCTCAAACAATCTGCAAGTTCATACCTGTATAAACAAAAATTTAACGATAAAATGAATAAATTTGATGAAAATAATGGCATTCATTTACAAACAATTGTTTCAGAATTAAAAAAATTTGCACCACTCTATCTTGCTGATGAAAAATGGGATAATGTTGGTCTCTTAGTTGAACCGGATATTTCATATATAAATACTATTTTGTTAACAAATGACTTAACTGAACCGGTTATCAATGAAGCAATAGAAAAAAATGTTCAACTAATTATCTCCTATCATCCTCCGATATTTAGTGGAATGAAACGATTAATACGATCAAACTGGAAAGATCGAATAATCTTGAAATGTATAGAAAATCGCATTGCCATCTATTCTCCTCATACAAGTTGGGATGGAGTAGAAAATGGTGTCAATCAATGGTTGACAACAGCATTTGGAAAAGTTCATGATGATTTTGATGTTACACCGATAGAAACTTTGAAAATGGAACAAACACCTGGTAAAAATCAGCACATTCTAACAATCGTATTACCAGGAACTGGTGAAAGTATTCAAAGACAGTTGAATGATGTCAGTGGTGCATATATACAAAGTGAGACGGAGTATGTACAGCGGAGTATGTAACAACGATACACCCGCTTGATCTATTTTATGTGTGCATCTGTTTTAAGATGTCTTCATAATAACTTACCGTCAAAACAATTGATGGTGGCCTGTTCAAAAGAAGCTGTAATATCAATTTGCAACATATTTAAAGACAATATTGATATATTCAAAACAATTCAGATTGTCGACGTACAAAAAGTGAGTTGTGAAGATACCAAAATCCTTTGAATACTTTGAAAACTTTGTATTCTCAGCCATTGGATGCAAATACTGGTTACGGACGTTTAGTAGAATTAAAACAAACGTGTACAATAAGTGAAATAGTTGAAAAAGTAAAAAATTTAACAAGTTTGAAATACGTTCGTTTAGCGTTAGCTAGTGGGAAATCAATAAGTGAGTGAGAACTTTTTCATATAGGAGAAAATGCTATTCTTTTTTGATATTTTGTAGCTTCATCTGTGCGCACAATTGCCGTGTGTGCAGGATCTGGATCTACTGTTTTATCGAATGTTCGTGCTGATATTTATTTTACTGGCGAAATGTCTCATCATGCCGTTTTAGATGCTATTCACCGTGGTACAACTGTTATATTATGTGAGCACACAAATACGGAACGTGGTTTTCTAAAACAATTTAGGAAGTATTTTATGGAAATCTGGGAAGGAAAAATGAACATAATTCTATCGGAAAAAGATAAAGATCCATTAGAAATTGTTTGAGAAAAAAACAACATGCCCTTCTCGTTGTTATAGTTAATCGATCTTCTGAGAAAGACTCGATGACAAAATTTTTATCCGACTCATTTCTATTCTCTTTTTCTGTATTGTTGCTATCAAACTATAAATGACAAATGGGTCGAGTTTATCTGGTTGTATACCAGGGTGAACTGTCTGCGACAAACTCAAAGATTTACTCATTTGTTTGTATCGCGAATGGTGCTAATGCACTGCAAGTTATGTCAATTGGTGACGATTTTAAAGATGTGGATATAGTTAATACATGAGGATTTCATATAAAATATACAAAAAATTGTCCAGAATTTTATAAAAGCTAAAACGTGGGCATCGATTTTCCATAAAAACACTATTGATTATTCATTCTCTTTAGATACTCTTTAGATAGATTGAGTTTTGTGTAAGAATCAAAGCAAATGAAAATTGTGGAATTGAATAGAGCTAAATAACCAAGATGACTTTGACGCAATCGTTTTTATTTACCCGATTATTCAAGTAAATTATCAATTAAGTACAATATAACATTTTCAAATTATATTTTAATATCGCTTAAAATATATGTTCAACGAGTGCTGTCATCTTTCTTAATTCGAAAGTGAAACCTCTTAAGAAATATTCAATTTGATCCTACATATATGTTTACGCATATGTTGACTTCATAATAAGTTCAGAAAACATTCTGCTCGATTTTTAAATTAGCCGTATCTTACAGGCAGACGTTTTTCAATTAGTTTCAAAAGCCAGGATCATTTTACTCTTCATCTTTGCGATTATTATCCGTCATTTCAACCTCACAATCAGTTTCATTATTCGCTAGATCGGTGTTGTGGTTAAAATTGCTAGTATTTCCAGTATTATCTCCTCCTACATAATCGTCAGAGTCGCTGTATCTATGCTTTGTTTGGCTCCAATGAGCCAGAAAACATCTAAGATTCTACGGGTACTAAGTTGTACAGAATTGTTTGTAACAGATCAAAATTAGGAAATTAAACTTGCCACAAAACTGTCTCTAGGCTCAAATTTGAGAAACACTTCCTTCACAGTGAACAATTGGAAAACAACTTTTTTCGCTAATTATCAAATACGCTGCCATTGTACAAATCAATCATCTTTCATTTATTCTGTAGTTTAATGTCGAATAGGCATGCAACAGTAACAATTATCGTAGCTTAACGGTTACCGTTACCATTTCACCGATTTTACCGGACAAACGGTTACCGCTTTACCCATACTTACCGGTGATTTACCGGTAGCAGGTAGTTCGTAAACAATATTTAATTAATATTTTCTCTATGAAGGAAACATTTCTGCGATTCGAGCTTCGAACATGAATTATAGTAAATTTAATTTTTAGAAAAAAACATCTGCTGCTGCCGGGTTTCTTGAAGCCGAACTTCATCATAACCAGTTTTTTGTGTTTTTCCTCATGAAGATGGAGTTGTACAGAATTGCGTGTGGCACATCAAAATTAGGAAATTAACTTGCCACAAAACTCTGTCTAGGCACTAGTTTGTGAAACACTTCCTTCATAGTGCGCATTTTAATTAGCGAAAAAAGTTGTTTTCCAATTGTTCACTGTGAAGGAAGTGTTTCTCAAATTTGAGCCTAGAGACAGTTTTGTGGCAAGTTTAATTTCCTAATTTTGATCTGTTACAAACAATTCTGTACAACTTAGTACCCGTAGAATCTTAGATGTTTACTGGCTCATTGTACGAATTCAATTCCGTACGATATTTTAAGTTTCCTGCAATGTTCAAGTAGAACACAGGGTGCTCTTGACGATCGAATTATTGAATCTGTCTTTATTTTAGGAAACTCTCTATCTATTATTCTGAAAAAATGTGTAAGTTCAAGTTTACAGTAAATAGAGATAACAGCCTGTATGAGCTTTCCCGCTCGCAAGATATTTTCCTGTTTGAATTATAGACGAAAGAGAGATTGAAGTTGAAATTAAATAAACATTTCACACTTAATTGGACGACAGATTATTTCAAAAGAAAAATGCCACTTGTCACCGATTCCACTGATACTGATAAACCGTATGAATCTCGTATTCAATTAATTACACCCTGGACAGAGTTTGTTATTTTCCTGAGTGATTATTTTTACATTTTTGCCTTACTGGGTGTAATATTATGTTTTCCTATTGGAATATTGGCCGTTGTACGTGCAGTTCAAGCTAAACAATTGAAACATGAGCAATTTAGATATTCTACAAATGTTGAGTATTTAACAGATGGCATTAATGCACCCTATGAATTAGCCAAAATAAATCGTTATGAAGCAACGACTTTAGGCTTGTTTGCAATTCTTGTTGGGATAGCCTTTTGGCTTGTAATTTATGCTGTTTTCAAAATGCATCATATTTATTATCACTACGATTTTCAACATCATTGTGATTTATACCATGCATGTCATGATTGATAACGATTAAACACGACAAATGTATTTGAGAAAGCATACGTTGTGGTTTACACTCATAGCTTGAATGGTTATAATTTACACTAGAAAAAATCCTTGTTTTTATATACATATAAAAAAATATATTAAATGCAGTCTAGTGACTATTAGGATAAACACGCATACAATAAAATTTAAATATAATCGATTTTTAAAACAAGACAAAAAAATACATGAAGAAAAACGTATGATACTATGTCTGTATTCTAAAAGGCAACTCGATATATGTTTTTTGAGTTTTTGAGCTTAATTTTTTCATTAAATAAAATATCAAGGACAACAAAACAATGGTTATACCTTTCGAAGAAAGATAGAACAGGTAAATAAAAAAACTTAAAACTAGAAAAATAATATGTATCTTCCTTTCAAATGTGTGAAAAATCCTACCCCATAGCTTACCACTTGAATCAATATCATTGCTTAATTAAAAAAAACGATCGAAAAATGCTTTTATAATACTACCAGGACGACGTTGGTATGTATCAATCATTTGTTCAATTGACTCACGAACCTTGAGTAAATGACATAAATATCCTAATAAGTAAGAACATACGTTTTTCTCTTAGTAATTAACATTTACATACCTTTTTTGCCAATTCTTCTGGTGTTTGGGATGGATCATGTATAATCGGTTTGCCCAGGTACGTTCTGTAGTGAGATAAAATGTATCAGTTAACAAAATCAAAGCAATAAGACAGTTTTACTTCATTTTAACTGGAAACATGCCGTAAATGGGTACTAGTGGTAGTCTTGTCTTCTCATAAATATAACGAAGTAGACCTTAAAATAAATGGAATACATGTTTAGACTACATCTTAATCAATTGATTTTAATACTCACGTCGACCACACGACACGCTACGAAATGCTTCCCGACAATTTTTTGTAAACATAGGAATAATTGGCTAAACAGAAAAATAATAATGATCTCCCTATACAAACGTTACGAGGAAAGCTTTCCAGACCATATTTGAATGCTGCATACATTTTTAGGAGTTATTTCTGATGCTGATATATTTATTTGGATCCATAGAAATGTTTACAACCTGTTTCCAGAAAACTGGTTTCTTGTGATACAACCCATAGTTTCACTGGATTGTTAGTTTATTGCACGATTGTATCCGATGAGCTTCTGCCGTTCTAATGCACCTCTACTCTACCGTTGTTCGCTCTAATTTTTGCGGAAACTGACTCTGCTTAGAACCACAGAATATCAGAATCTTTAACAAGTTCTAATACCGTCAGTTTGTAGAGTAACTCAGGTTACCTATATAGAAAAATGTTTAGACCTATCGAGTAAGTTTTTACTGATGGGAGAACATTCCTAAGTAGTCTACTCCAATTTAGCTGATATTTTGCTGATCGATAGGGCTAATTGATCTAACAAAACTCGTGAGAAGATTCGCTCGGCTCCCTTCTTGAATTATGATTGATTCAGCGCAATTCGAGCTTTTAGTATTTTCACGATAACAGACTATTCAAAGATGCTGGAGAACTGAAACTCGTATCAATGGTAGTCCTATGTGCAATTCCTATGCCGTGCTTTAGCCTTCTGTCCCCCTTGGGAAATCGAATTTTCTGTTCATGTGGTTTCGGCACTACCCTGAAACGTACAAATAGATAATAATTAAACAGCGGTAACACTTAAAAGCCATTTTAACAGAGATAACAACTGATTTTACGAGCTTATTAATGCTAAACTGGCTTAATAACGAAAAAATATTTTTCATTTGTAATTAGGGTGGACTACTTAGGAATGTTCCTCGAGTAAAAACTTACTCGATAGGTCTAAACATTTTTCTATACAGGTAACCTGAGTTACTAGATAAACTGACGGTATTAGAACATGTTAAAGATTCTGATATTCTGTGGTTCTAAGCAGAGTCAATTTCCGCTAAAATTAGAGCGAACAACGGTAGAGTAGAGGTGCATTAGAACGGCAGAACCTCATCGGATACAATCATGCAATAAACTAACAATCCAATGAAACTATGGGTTGTATCACTAAAGATCAGTTTTCTGGAAACACGTTGTAAAAATTTCTATGGAAAATTTCTATATATTCCAAATAAATATATTAGCATCAGAAATAACTCCTAAAAATGTATGCAGCATTCAGATATGATTTAATCATCTAGGAGCTTTCCTTCTTAGCGGAAGAAAGAATAACTTATCTAAACTTACTACTTTCGCATCGATTGCAAGTTTAGCAAATCCTTTTCGATCTTTCCAGATTAACTGATAATTATTATCACTAAATAGATTCAAAATAGACCAATGTTCAATTCTGTTTCTACTTATTGTTGTGCACATACCTAAATAGTGCTTCACGTACACCACCTAAAAAACAAAGATCGATTAAGTTTCTTTTTCTTTGATAAAGCTAATGTACTTGCCTGGACTTACTGCGAGTACATGTCCTTCATCTAACATTAATTTACACATTGCTGCTGTTGCTGGTTGAATTTCGAGCGCTTCTAACAATGTGGCTAAACCTAAAAACATACAATTTGATGAATTATGTTATTCAAATCAAGGAAATTGTTTGTTACCTGGTATTTTAAAAACAAATTTATCGACAACAACTCGTACTCGACGATTTCTGTAAAGCCATATTTTTGTATATAAATAATAAAAATCAATTGGTATTGCAGCATGATAAAAAATAATCAAAACTGGTCCTTTCACTGGAATGTGTTCGAGTCCTTCAACTTCATAGCCTAAATAATCAGATAATTTTTCATTTAGAATAATGTAATTTCAGATGAAACTTACCATGCCATATGGTTGCTTGAAGTTCCCAGAAGACGGCTAATGTATTGATCGCACCAAACCATAAATCTTCCGAATAAGCAGCCTAAATACTAAAAACGGTACTTCATATCATGTATTTATTTTAAAAACTTTTTTCTATTTTAAACTAATCACTAACTCACCTATCACATATAAAATTAATCCCTTATAGAAAATGGTGTACCCTTGTGAGTATAAATTTAATTAGATTCTTACAATAGTCTTAAACAACTCTCGAATCTGGGAGAACCATACGCCACAATGAGAAAATTTTCTAATCAAATGAACGGTTTTAAGCATACTTTTAAACGATTCCAATGTTTGTAAATAAGTAGAAACAGAGATGAACCATATAGAAATAATAAAATTGTGGCTGGTAATAACCATAATGCTAATAAAACTAGACAAAGTGGTTTAAATAATCCCCATAACCAGGCTAAATAAATTACATCTAAATTAAAATGTTGAGTTAATAAAATGAAATAATGTATCAAATTATTCCATAACCATATTAAAGTCGATTCCATTTTATTCCATTCGACGATGAAAATAATACAAACACATGAACAAATAATAATTTTTGTACGTGCGAAAACGACGTATAATTTAAACAATTACATATTGTTTGGTCACAAAACCAAAATACGATTGATCAATTCATTTGAAAAACTTCGAAATGAGCGAGAATTAAATCTAAAATTAAAAATCGATGTATCTACAAAATATCCTCTAAACTATAACAACACTAGAAACATACGTCGTGGTTATATAGCAGTGTGCGAAAAATGACCAAAACAATGTCAACTTTTAAGAGATATCAATCGAGGACTACACGAAAATCCGTGTTCTCATTGATATCACAGCTATATAGACTGTAGTAGTATCATGAGAGAGAGAGAGAGAACAGAACAATTTAATTACAGAACTATATGTATATTAAGAATAAGGAACTTTGAAAATTTAGTTTATTTTGTTACTATTGCTATGTCGCACATGCGCCATTGACTATCTATTATAAACGAAACTTGCATAAGAAAAACATCAATAATTAATAGAACAAAAAAACGAAAACATGTTGATTAGAAAATATACATTTTTTGAAAATTTACGTATATAACCAAAAGACTAAAATTTTTTTCTAACAATTCCATTTATATAAAAGTCATGAGTACAACATCAACATCATGGGTAGCATTTTTTCGTCGATTTTTTACTGATTGCTTTGGTTTCAATGGTATGTCAACAAAACAATCAGAAACATTTACACAATCCACTAATATTGAACAAAATTCTCAACGATATCAAGATGATGAACAACTAAAACAATATGAAAATCTTCCAGAATCCATATGTATCCGTTATTTGGCTAAAAAATGTTTACATCTGCCATCACCCTTAACAAAAGAAGAACAAAAACATCAACATGCAGAAGATTATATTTGTTTAAACTGTTTTCTTTTATACATAGGAGATCGTTTAGTTAATCGACATTTATTCTACTATTTAGCCCTACAGGTGCCAACAAAATCTCCTCGAAAAAAATACAAATCAGAATATAATTATTCACAATTATTCGATATGAATCAGTCTACAACAGCAACACCCACACAAATGCCAATGTATATCAAAACTTCTAGTCTTATACTGTTCGCTCATCGGATAGTCGAATGGAATGAAATAACTAATAATCTAGAATTTATAGCCCAATTGTTTCATATCGTCATATCGACTCGTATGTATGCAACACCAATAGTCAAAGATAAACCCACAGTGTTGCCCAACAAAACGATAGTTAACGAAACTCAAAGCAAAAAAAATGAAGATGAAGAGCACGATTTCAATGAGCTTCGGAAAGAATATCCAGACGATGAAATGTTTTCAACAGAAAATCGTCGAAATACAGAAGTAGAAGTAGCAAATATAATTTTAAGAAAAGATCCATTACGAGTTACAGATAATAATCTGGACAAAGTTGTGATTGAAGAAACACTTGTGTATGAATTAATACAAGACGCATATTATTACACAGCTTTGCAGGCAAATATCCAAACAAAATTGTCAAACGAAAGCGAGGTAAATGAAATAACAGCTCTCAGGTTTATTTACGCAGGTATTCGACGTAGAAACATCGCAAAAAGTTAAAGACAGGAGCACAGTGGTTATTTTTCTAATAGCAGGTGGACATCAGAATACTTTGTTCTTAAACCCTTTTCTTATGAATAATTAGCCATTGTTTAGTCAGCTCTGATGCTCTTAAAGAAAAAATCACTTCTTCGAAAAATCAATCTTGCTAGTTCGTGGGAAAAAATCTGGATGGATAGTTATTTGATCTCATATTCAGGACCAGGAAAAAGCCTCTTTTTTTCGCCTGCATCATAGAAACTGTGTTTGTAAAAGAACAGTATGGAAAAGTTTGAGCTTCTTTCAGCGACTGAAAAATGGTGGAAACTGACTGTACTGGACCCATCTCTAGAGAAACTTAGCCTGTTCGGGAAACACTGTTATTTCTCGCCACGTTTAGGTCGAAAACAAAAACTTTCTTTGCTAATACGCAGGTGAAAGAACTTAGATTCAGAATCGATGTTTAGTTAGAGCTACCTTGGATTTTGAGGCTATTTTCTAGCTGTATTTGCTCGTGATCCTTGCCTATTATTTTCTGCTGTTAAACCGAAAATCTACCGTTAAAACTGTCTGCTTTTTTCGCGGATAGTTTGGGAACAGGATACTTGTTAAGAGGTGTCATACTCTTTTTCCTTCATCATTATGATGAAGCACTTGAAGCACTGGATGAAGTTCTAAGCTTGTTAGTAATTCAGATGAATAAAGCTTTCTACATATTTATGCATATATTGTTTTTGTGTAAATAATAGGACAAAACAATTTGAAGAAAAATCTTATTTACCTCCCAATGCTCTATTAGAAAAGGGCTTAATCTATACAGCCATGAAACTGCTTAATCTATACTGTCTTTGAATCCGAGAAATTTTCCACATTTGTGTTTTCTCCGTCAGAAATTCTGAATATGGACTTGGCTACCTTCTAATTACCCACGTACGCGTCCCGACAAAAGCACCTTTTTTAGTATAGCACCTCAGCACCTTTTTGGCACCCTAATCGGTACTAATTGCTGCTTTGCTTCTTCTTTTGATTCTGAGCTTAAATCCTATTTTTCTTGTTTTCTCAGGAATTTTTACACAAATTTTTCGTGTATTTGCGTCAATCTAATCGTGAACAAGACAGTAAAACATATTTAAAATTAATTAAAAGAATAGCACCTCACTTGTTTGTTGGCGTTCATCGATGGATGAAAACACATTTAACAAAATACCAGAAAACAATATCGTCTGAATCAACACTATTAACTAATTTCTTTTCAAATACAACGACAACAGATGTTTCACTTCCAGCAGTAATACAAGAACCGGTCAATCAAAAGCATTTAATTCCTTCATCAATCGATCTGGTAGAAGAATTCGATCATCATTTACCATTTACATTTATTTGGTATATAGTAATATGGCTCACATCAAATAAAATATTTCCAAATGCAAATAATGATGATCCTACTGATGTATTTAGTCAATGTTGTAAGCAACAATTAATGAGAAAACTATATGACAGTGATGAAGATGGCTATTCTATCGTAACATTATGCAGGCACGTTACCAACAATAATGGTCCACTATTGTTCATGTTTCATTGTGATGATCAACGAACATTTAGCATATTACTAGAAGGTGAACTGATTGATTCTAACAAACCATACGGTGGACCACGCTCACAAGTGCTACAAATATTACCAAATTTCTTTATAATTGAACGTGGTCCCAATTGTTTATACTGGAATGTACGTATAAAAACATCACAATTAGCTATTCGAGTGGGCCAGCATTCTTTTGATCCACGTATAACAATCGACACATCTTTACAACGAATGACACATCCATCAGGTTCAAGTACAATTTATCATATACAAGTTTTTAAATTCGGTCGAATTGAAATAGGAAAAATTTCACGTTCAGTCATAAATATGACGACATCAAGAAAATATCATGATCATATCAAAGATAATTTCATGCAAGAATATGACTTTCAAATGAACGCAGCTAAATTATCCGAATCTTTAGGCATACATTTTTTAACAAGATAAACTCATCTTTTTCTTGGATAATATGCGTGTATAAACGGCATATTTCTATAATTATTCTTTTCAACTACACATGGTACAAGAAAATAAGCGTACCGAACTAGAAGAAAACCTCCACTAGTAGCGAATATAATTAATTATTATTAGTGAAGTCTTTCTGTCATCAAATAAGGTAAAAAACTATCCTTCACTGTAATGGAAACTCTCTGTGCTCTTGTTATGGCCATCTATATCCTTTTGTCATTGATAACGGGTGGTCCATAAAGAACTATTGTTGAGAACTATCTGATTGAATAGAGCTGGAAATTCGGCATCTTTTGACATAAAATTTGTCTTAGAAAATTGGTAAAGTGGTAGTAAAATATTGTCAGAGTTAAAATAAAAAGTGTTTTATGGTGATAATTGATTTTTCCTCTTGTATCAACTAACAAAAACCTGTAAAGTAATGCTAACAATATAAGGTTGTAGAGAGTAAAATTCTCCATCTTTTAGTAAGGCGCTGGTAACTCAAAATATTTTTTCACAATATTTATACATCGTTGGATAGAGTTTGTCGAGCTGAGTTAGAAAAAAATGGTTTGAGATTTTTAGACAAAATTTTTATAATTCGTAAAAGATGCTATATTATTAAAAAATTTTAAATTTTCATCCTTTCTCTTTCTTCTAAAATGTTCAAACAGTTTTTTTCTGATTCAGCATCATGCTCTAAATATCTCTAAAGATAGATGTGGAAAGGCAAAAAAAATATGAATAAAATTTTTTATCGAACACTGTTTTAGGATAATTATGGATAATTTTTTCGCTGTATTCTATTTTACCAAACAGTGCTTTCGAAAATTCGTACAGACAAAACCTTGTATTTTTAGGGAGCCAGTTAAAATTCTCTGTACGTTCGGTATTTCCTTTATCATTCTGTTAAATCTGATCATATCGTAAAAACAAATACACCATTTTGTAGATAACTGAAATGTCTCTCTCTTTTTTCGACTTGAAACGAAATTTTTAGGGCAGTTGCAAAGTAAGAAAAAAACTGAGTACAACAGTGTATAGTTCTTTATGGACGATCCGTCACATTCTGTTTTTACTTAAATTGTTTACAGTTAGCAAGGAAATAGAAGAGAACAAGCGTAAACAATTGCCCTCATTGGTATAATATTTCACTTCTGTCAAACTAAATACTTCTTTAGCAAAAAGAAAAGAGAAAATTAAACATATATTTTCCAAAAATATGATTTATTCAATAAAAAGAAACGTACAAGAAACACCGGTATGCAAAACCATTAATCTTGATTAAGAAAAGAAGAGATTTAATAAACTAAGAAGTTTGTAGAAAAATGAAGAACAACATGTGATAGAAAGATGAAGATATATATAGTAAATGATGACAGGAAAAATCTCGTTAGATATAACTGGAACTTCTTCTCAGAAAATTAGATATGACAACATACGCACAGATGAACAGAACAAAAAGAAAAAAAATAGCCCAACACGATGAACAAACATTCAACAAAAAACCAACCATAATCTCTTAATCGGAAATTTTCAAATTTTTTTCGTTGTCAATATTTTAAAAAAAACGGAAAAAGAATCGCAGTAAAATTATCACAAATAAATAGGCAAAAAATAACGTGAAGATTCGCTTATAAAAAAAATAAATACACAAAAAGTCGTTGTTAGGAAAAAAAGAATCAATATCTTTTCCAGACTAAAGAATATAGTTGACGGTCACAGAAAAGAAATGAAAAAAAATCACGAAAATATGACTGTTTATCTACCAGAATTGACCGGGTAAAATTTTTACAATATCACATGAACATTTTTAGGACTTTAGACATCAAACTGATTCGTTTTTATTGTTACTATAAAAATAGTCAAATGCATTGATCAAGTTTGGTTAATGGAGGAAACGATGATAATAATTAATTGAACATTAATCGAATTAATACTACAAATGTGATATCCATGTTGTTTAACAACGGGTATCACTAGTTTTTTTATTTGATGATCCCGATTTTTTTGATTCTTTTCGTGCTTGAGCATCCATTTGTTTAAGAGACCATAATGCTGCGTTAGCACGAAAATGTAAACGCGATTCTAGCTGATAATCTTTATGATCGTTTCTAAACAGCAATATTGAAAGATAATAAAATAGTCATAAGTTCAAACTACTATCCATTTCAAAACTAAGAACTGCGACTGTTTTTTGAATAATTTTTGATAGAAAGCAGCTAGAGAGCTCCAGTTTTCGCCACGAGAAAGAGGAAGCTTGAGGACATGTTTTCGCAAGCAAAATAATTTTCAGAAGATGTTTCTGAAACAAGTTTTCTAGGAAATCTTTGAAAGAATAAGTTGTGTAAAAGTTTTCCAATAGGATTGTATTGATTTTTTTTCATGGGCTGGTAGCCCGAGGTTTCTTCTTCAGAACAGGAGTAAAGCGAGACCTTGATTTCCCACGGTTCGGGCGTTATATCGAATTTCCTACGAGTTCCAGGACTGGCACCCAGTGACTATTGGTAGGTAGCCATGAAAAATAATGAATTATAGACAATCGATCATGCTGAGTCTCGTGGCAATATTTGTTTTTAGAAAAAGTTATAAAAATCTAGCGAAAAGTGAGTTGTACGAAAATTGGTGTGCCCAGGTTATTTTCATCTAATATTAAAAAATTCACTATTCACTTAAAAAAGATCAGAACGAGTTCAAAACTTCAGGATATGGTTAGTTTTATCCGTTAAACATGATTATAAGATCGAAAAAATCGAAAAAGCATATGTTTGTTAATGGGTTTTCTAGAAACCCTTTCGCAAAACATTAAGAGTTTTATAAAAATCTCTTTCTAGGTCTCCTGTCGCTTTTTATCAACTGAAATTGTACGTTCATTGAGTCTTAATAAAAAAAAATTACTTACAATGCTTTGTGAAGACATTCAGAGGCTTTCTGGTTTTGTTTCATGGCTGTATAGATTAAGCCCTTTTCTAATAGAGCATTGGGAGGTAAATAAGATTTTTCTTCAAATTGTTTTGTCCTATTATTTACACAAAAACAATATATGCATAAATATGTAGAAAGCTTTATTCATCTGAATTACTAACAAGCTTAGAACTTCATCCAGTGCTTCAAGTGCTTCATCATAATGATGAAGGAAAAAGAGTATGACACCTCTTAACAAGTATCCTGTTCCCAAACTATCCGCGAAAAAAGCATCATCTAAAACAGAATAAAAAGAAACGTCATTTAAAAATGCATTGAGACAAAATATCGTTCCAAATGCTAGACCACAGCTAAATAGAGAACATACTTGTATGAGTTGCTTTTAGATTTTCCAATCCTCTATTTACAATGTCCAATGTTTTTCTCATTTGTTTTTCATTATGGTATAAAATATAAAAGCCGTTCATTATATACACCAATTCCTAAACAACAAGAATTATTCCTTTCTTATAATAAAAAATGAATAAACGCAGAAGATGAAACATCATGAGATTGAAAAACTAAAGTGTTGACTAGAATTTACGACCCAAAATCTTTTTTTGACATCTCTGCTGTAAAAAAATCATTAAAAAAAACTGCGAGAGATTTTTTGGATGAAGAAGGCTATTTTCATCCTTCTCTCTTCTACTAAAAAATACATTTAATGACTTCTTCTAATTTTCAAGTAGTAGTTAGTAGTACATCTAGCTAAAACTAACTGAATTTTTTTGCTAAATGAACAATGATCAACAGGAATCATTCGTTAAATCCATTATTTGTCACTATTGTATATCAGCAAGCCAAATAACATAGTAAATCATCCTTTTTATATCCGAGACAAATGCATCGTCTAGTAGCCACAAATAAACCACGTTAAATGGAACCATAGAGAAAACGTTAATAAATATACAGACTAATTGTCTTCTATATAATTAAATTAAACTCAAAATTTAACTTTACATTTCATTTCATTCGAAATTTTTTGTTTCTAACATAATTTCAGTCGGTCACAATTAATTTTTTTCTCGTCGATGAGTAATCGCGTCTGAGATTGGCTAATATTTTCTCAAATCTAACTTACAAATATCGATGCGCTTATCTTTTTAGTCTCTTGGAAATCGAAATGTATTAGTCAAATGTATTAGAATGATCATATACGTTTTTCCGATACTGAAGATAATTCAAAAAATTTGTCCCAAGATGTCGCCCTTACTGACAAACTAAAATAAGTCGTTTAACATCGGATTACAAATTCTACAACATGCTTGATCGTGTAAAATATAATAGTTTCTATGCAAAAGTTCGAATTTATACGTCACTTCAAATAAAACGGAGAAGAATGATTCATACCAATGCTGGTAAAAACAGCCACTTTTGAACTTGAAATTGTTCACATTTTTTTATGGCGTACTTTTCCATTGGAATTGATTTACCCGCGAGTCTAATTTTTAAACCAGGAACGCGGCTAAAAGAAAAAGATTAGTTATCTAGGAGTTTGGTATGCCAGAAAACGTCACCCATTTCCAACCTCGATCTCTTCATTGAGCCTTACTCATCTCTTTTTTAAATAGTGAAGATCTGGGTTAGAAATCTGCGTAACCCGAACCTAAATCGATCCGACAACAACTTAGTCCGACAGTCTAGTCGGTATTCATCCAGAATCTACATTAAATTTTATTCTGATTGTAGACTGTAGACAGTACCGCCTTAAGACGATGAATATGTATTTAGAACTAGTTTGAGAAACAACTTCGGTTAATACATCTTATTAGGCAAATATCTTTCTTGAATGATAAATGAATAATTTTCTGCGATGATTCAAATACGTACTTGTAGAGTTTGATGATATCTTCTGACGCAACTTCTTTATTTGCTTCGAATAAAAATGTTGCTAATAAATAACAGTATGTCGCTTTACTCCAACTACTTTCATTTAATAAAATGTCAGCCATCTTAGCTGCTTCATTCCACTCATGTAGGAGTACTCGACACCATAATATTTCCCAATGAGATATCTAGTTAGAACATATAGTACCTTTTTCAGTTATACACTAAACTTAAATCAGATATATCCTTACGTGGTGAAGATTTCTCCAATCATTTTGTGAACTAATGGCCTGTTCATAAGTACTTATTCCCTGAAAATAAGGGAAAATGTCATTCACTATTCTTTTAATATATTTAAAATTGATATTTCCAGCGACGTTCCTTCTCAAAAGAGATACAAATCCATACTTTATAATGTATCTGTTTTAATCAATTAAAAAGTATCTCTTATGAGACACGAATATTTTGGTAAGAAATTGCGTTTCTCAAAAGAGATACAAAAAAGGCGCTTCTATCATATTGTTCAAAAAAAATCTTTTTCGACGTCAATGTATAAATAAAAACAATTATTTAGAAGTGTTTAAGAAAACTAGTGGTTCGGATATTAGCACGGATGAGGATGAAAACAGCGAAGATTAAAATTACAAATAGTTGACAAATAACTTCTTTTTAAAAAATTAATTTTTTTTAAATATAAGTATTAATTACCACTTATCTTGATTGCTTTTACCTCTTATTTAATTTCATTTTTATTGGGAATATAGAAATGGGAGATAATGTATCTCTTTTGAGAAATGAGAGATTCCATATCTATAATTGTATCTCTTTTGAAAAACGCAATTTTTTGCCACAATAGGCGTTTCTCAAAAGAGATACGTTTTAATTGATTAAAACAGATATATTATAAAGTATGGATTTGTATCTCTTTTGAGACATAGCCTCCAGCTACATACCTCATTCAGATGACATCGTAAAGTTTGCAGACGAGCTCGAAACACGAGAAACATATACGACTAAAATAAAACAGAACAATGATTAATAATGTGAAATTTGGAATAAAGATAAAGCATTTTCACTACCCAAATTGCACCATAACCGATTAAAAAAAGCCCCTTGAAGTCTTTCAAGCTAGTTTTAGTGTACAAATGTCTTCTAATTTACATTTGTACACTTTTCTTCTTAAAACAAAAATTATTTATTGAAGTAGCAGCATATTATGTTACTCGGTGATGATCGAGAACTATTCGCTTTTATAACGTCAACTAATTCTAATATGATAAAAGCTTACAAAAAGAATAATCTAAGTTATATGTTCTAAGACTATTTCTAGTTGATTAAAATATCGAGTCATTTTAATCAAGTCAAAGTGATATGTTTATGTTATTACTCTATATTAAGAAAATATTCAAAAGACTGTAAAAGCTCTACATAAAAATATGTTTCAATGCATGCACCGATAACATTCTTTTGTATCAAGAGAATACGTTGTTATTTAAAACAAAATAGTCTAGAATAAGCATAATAACTCTACTGTTTCTATATCTGATAAATTAGAGAATACTAGTGTGTTAGGAGAGAGATTTTTCATACGAAGCTCTAGACAAATTGCTTGTTTTTCTGAAATACAAAAGAATTTAACAAATTGGATAGGTATTTCTAACTACATACAGTAATATTATAAATGATAAAAACAAATTTGATTTAATAACTTACATTCGGATATATTCTGAGATAATTTTCTGTTAAATTATGAGCTAATTCTACATCTCCTTCGCCATTGCCTTAAATGGAAAAATAAATGTTTTAATTAACAGTAAATGAAGTATAGTCATCGTACCTAATATTTGACCAGCAAACGTATGATACCCTAATAGAAAAAGTGCTGATAACGGAGCACGAATGCCATTGCTCTTTGAACTTTTTTCCAATTCTTGTAAACCATATTCCTATAAGCAAAAGATATATTATATTCATAGAGAATTTTAGCGAAGATTTTTATGAAGAAAAAAAGTATAAATACCTTATCACCCGAAAATCCAGCAAATTCTAAATATTTTATTATTCGTTGAGGCAAACTGGCTATCATCTAAAAATATAAATTAAACAAAAATATACAAAAATGAATTTTTGAGAGGAGAGTTGTTTCTAACTTACAAGATTAAATGCACCATTACCCATTCGAACACCAGAATCAAAGTGTTCATGCAATAACGGAGTAGAAAACTTAGATGGATCATTGTTTTTGGCTAGTTTTCTACGAAAAAGCGAAAGAAAATATGAACAACAGCTCGTATTCAAGAATGTCCTCGTGAGACATACTTTTTCAAAATCGACCGAAATCGGTGTAAATATACCTCTAAATGTCCTCTTTAAACATTTCCGATATTTTTTTCATGCGATAGAAACGTTTTGCAGAAATCTTACCTATCCATTGATCAATAATCGTTCAATGATTTTTGCTAAGTTCTCGGTTTCTCAGAACTCCCCTAGCTGTATGGGCATCTGTGCTAGAAATTTTAGCTCTAACAGGAAAAAATTTCAAGAGAATCACTATGATACTGACTTTAGCTGAAAAGGGTTTGTACCGAATACATGTTCTATGGTGAAACCTACTTTTCTTCCAGTTTCTATCAAAATGGTTATATCTCTTCAAGAAAACACTGCGGAAAACGTCTTATTTTTGCAGAGAACATTTTGATATCTTTTTCTATCTGAAAAATTCTCTTTTAGAGTAGGAGTATGTTTAAATTTGAATAACGACTTACAGAAATGCATCATGACATTCTTTTATTTTCAGTGCACCACTAAGAAAACTGAATAAACCTTGATCTTGAATGAACATCAGCAATGCTTGTAGTAATAATGCTTCGGCATAAACTAATTTGGCATGCAGCTCATCTAAAGTACAAAAACGAATTGCTCTAGTTCCTATGATTTTGCAAAAAAATGTCTGTCCTCTCCTTCTCTCTCTTTCCTCAATAGCTAATTTGATCAATTCCTTCGTTCGATTCTCACCAGTCATGTCAAACAGTTTTCTAAGAACGATATCTTCATTTGTTTGTGACAAGAAAACTACTTCTGCAGAAAGTTTTCTAATTCGAATGAGAAATGAATATAAAACATTTTTGTAAAAAATTCTAGGACTTCGGCAACAGTACACTTACTTTTGAACATCCATTTAGGCAATTTCTTTTTGTATCAATCTTTTTATCTACTGTAACGTATCATACTGAACTATTACCTGTATATATTTTAAGTTGATGGCAATCACTGAAAACTGATAAAGTTACTTTTCGGACACTCTACATTCAAGTAACTATAGGCAACCAGAAACATACTAAATTCTCATCATCTCATTGAATTCTTTGTTTTTTTTCTACTTCTCAGTTATAGATAAAAAATAGTTTTTAACAGTTTACAAATTAAAAAAGATTCATCGTGAAATGTGTCATTAAAAAATAGAATTCTAATTTTAGTAATAATCTACCGCCAATAATTAGTTTTAGGGAAAAATAAATAACGATCTTAGAAAAACAAATGAATCCTTTTTTTGACTATTTACGAAGTCATTGATTAAATTTTCTATCAATTTCCAAGTCAAAATAATATTATGTTCATGTAAATAATCATAAATTTGTGAAAGACATTGTATTGTAATTTATTTTATAACTACATTTAAACAGCATTAAATCAATAATTAAGTGAAAAACACGATCGAAACGTAAGTACAACATCTTGTATCAAATAGAGTATAACACATATTTGTCTATTGTCCTTCTACTTCTACAAATACTATATCTGAATTTAACTGTTCAATTTAAGTATACATACTAGCTGTATTTTATGTGGTGAAAAGATGACAATTCGTCTTTGCAGTAAACTAGTCTTTTAGGAGTGTTTACATAATTCTAAGTTTTAGTTTTATAGACGATATTTACAATTGTAATACTCTGAATACCGAGCACCAGTTGTTGTAGATAATAATATATGCAAATTATATGTCAGTATTTATAAATATATTTCAATTATGTCGTATCGATTTATATATCATTAACAACAGTATTATTATGGTTTAAATATACAAAAAGTTATATTTATTATTTAGAAAAGAAAACATGATCTCTAACAAAATTTGTAATGAACGGCCATTATTATGTATATTACCTGGAACAGCATTGATTGCATTAATTACAATGGGTATACTTTATATTTATCATGATTGCCGTTGTAAACAAAATTGTCTGAAAACACAAGAAAAATCACGTATGGAAACAACGATGGACAATATTGAGTCATTATCGAATAGTAATAATAATAAAAAATTTAAATCAAATTATATACGTGATTATCAAGTAGAAAATTTATTGCGTAATACCCCTGTGATACCCATACAATTACCAAAAATAAACGATCTGAATAGAATAAAACTATGAGTTAAAAACTTAAAACTATTCAACAACTAGATAATACGATAAATATCATCATACTAATAGAAAATCATCAAGAGAACATTATTACGGTAAAAATTCTTGAAAATTATATGTTTACATCTTTTTTATATATAAACTTCAAATTTTTCTAAATTACTAAATTTCAAAATTAGTAATGAAATAAAGTCATTTAACCTTTGATTCAAATATTTGAAGGTGTCCCTCCTTACTTCTCTTTTTTCTTAGAAAATTTTCGATTTTCTGTTCAACATAACTTACTATAGAGGAAAAATCTAGAGTACAAAGTAAGATCGCTCTATTCAATATCAAAAATTGATATTTTACATAGAGTTTATACCATTTCTCTTTAATACCTTGAGAAAAAATAAAACAAAAATTGATATTTTGGGATGTTGTTTCAGACATCTGTCGTAAAAAGTATTAAGCTCGATAGCATGGGCTTTTCGAGGGAGGGGAGGGCACCGTGAGTATCCAGGCGCACATTTAGCAAAAACAATCAAAGAGCTCTGTTTCTGATCTAACAATAGAAAATTTCTACTTCAAGTTATGAGCCATATATTTCTAAAAAAGTTTTGTTCTAACTGCTAACGGTAGCCTGAAAATACATCAGAGTGCCAAAATGTTTATCTATATACAACAAATCTAAAGTGCATGCTACTTCATGCAAGTGTTTTCCTAGTTTTCACCGTAGGGTTTCTAAAATATCCTAGTTTTTCTGTAAAATCACAATCCATGAACACTTTTAAGAAAAAACCAAGGTCATATTCGGAATCAGTGCGTTGAGTTGCATCGAATCATGTATAAATCAATAATTTGGATCAAATAACTAACCATCGAGATTTTTTCCCATGAACTAGCAAGATTGATTTTTCGAAGAAGTGATTTTTTCTTTAAGAGCATCAGAGCTGATTAAACAATGGCAAATTATTCATAAGAAAAGGGTTTAAGAACAAAGTATTCTGATGTCCACCTGCTATTAGAAAAATACCCACTTAGTAGGAATTTGTATCAAAAATACATTGAGTTTCGCTTTTGATCTTTCAGAATGTATAAGAAGTTGAACTCGGTAGGCTTTCGCCCCACATTTGTCAGAAAGGCGAGAAAAGAGGTTATCTTTAGTTCAGAACTATTTACAGTTCGACAATTGATCAAATTTACTGTCAGTAATGTAATAAAAGTGACTAAAGTTATTTCTGTAACTTACATTCACCCATGACTTGTTTCGTGCCAGTTAGTGCTGAAGATATCCAAGAACGATAGGTTTCTCTTTTTTTTGCTAAATGTATTGTTTGTCGTAAAGATTGAAGTGTTGCTTCCATGTCATCCTAAAATTGTGCATCTTCTATTGATATATCCCCACAGAATCCTATTTAACGTACCGCATTAAAAGTCATTGTGGCTTGCATAAATCGAAGTGAACTGTGGCATAAACTATGATACATTGATTTTGTTTCTCTAAAAAATCCATATTTTTCTGAATATTTCGTACTGGATCTGCTATTGATATTTCGATTAGTTTAAGGAGAATCCGTCTTGCGTCTACCATCGCCAATGTAGGATGCTGCCGAGAGACAGTGTCAATAGCCTAATATCTTCCTTGTAGTTGGCAAACTTCTGACATGATCACTCATATCGTTACTAGTTCTCAACAGCAGCTCTGATCAGAAGGCTAGTCTGACACAAAGGTATTTTCGCCCAATTGCTTAAGCTCTCCCTATATACTCATTAACCCATGTACAAGCTCGTTCTGAAAAACCACAAAGACTAAGCGAAGAAACTGTGTTGTAAGTCACAACACAGTGGATATGCTGTCAGATGAGTAGTCCGAGTTAGTCATACATAACTTGCTCAAAGTTATTACACGACTTGATGATACCGATGTTCGAACACAGCATCTTTGAAGTGCGAGTTCAACGACACGCATAACCATCAAGTTACGCTGTTCGATTAATCTAGTTGATACATACTGATCTTTAGCCAGTACTAAAGCTTCGTTGAGACGATTTTGAAATATAAGTTTCATTATGTGTGCTCCATCTATTAGTCCTTGAGTTAAATCAACTACTTTTTCTGTCATTGCTCCTGCACCCGTCGACGCTGGTAAAGATCTTTAACAAAGAGAAAAAATAGCACTTATTAATCTCATAAATAAATATTTATACAGTTCTAGAAACAAACCTTGTAGCATCACCGATATCATCGTTAAGATTTTCTACTGCATCTTCGAAGATCTAAGGATGAAAGTATGTTTTATTTTTTGTCGTTTCGATGATAAGTTGAGTTAAATTAAGATGTTTTGGGTAATTTCACTACTAAGCAATTGATCAATTTTTTAGTGGATACTTTTTGAAAATTAAAAAACCGGTTGAATATCAAATAGATCAAAGTATCAATTAATGAAACATATCAGCTATGTGATAAGACCGGTTTCCAGTGATTAAATATGTCAGAGACAACAACGATATAATCTATGATTACTATTCCTGTTCAATAGGTGACAAAGATTCGGGTCTACGGACTAATGTTAAAAAGAGAAATATTAAACGACTAATATTAAAAATAAATTTAATATTAACATCATCGCAAGGTTTAATATTTCTTTTTTTTAAAAATATAGTTAAGTATGTTTCTATTTTTACAACAAGAAAAAGATTTATTAGTCCAGATAGAAAAGTATTTAAATAAGGCACAAAAATATTAACTTGATTTTTAATATTAGTCGTTTAATATTTTTCTTTTTAACATTTTTCGGTATACCGCAAAGATTCTTACTTGCCCATATTGTCCTACGATATTATCATTTTGAATTATACTAAAAAATTTTAAACAAAATCAGTAGGATCAAGAACCATTATTCGTAGATGTATTAATGATGGTTCATATGTTCTAAAAGTATTTTCTGAAATATTCTTGTCATCAATCGCCAACGGACTCCTTTATACCTAATTATATTAGTGGCGATATGGATTCAATAAATGGAAAGATAAAAAACTCTATTATAAACTTTTAAATCTCCCATTTATCGAAATGATAAACCAAAGTGAGACAGGTTTTACAAAATATGTACACGCACAATATTACAATAATGAGAGCTATATGATATTACTGTTTATTAAATATAATCGATGAATATTGCTCACAGTATTTAATAAAAGGTTTATTTTTAAATCAAAATCATCAATTGTATTTGATTACTGATAAAGATATCACATTTCTATTGAAATATGGATATAATCGTATTTACATTAGATCTCAATTATGAAAGTATCAGTGTTCTCTATTATACAACGGTAGAAACTAATGAATTAAAATGAAATTCAAATAAGGATGCCGAATTGGAGTCATCTACGTTGATTAGTCTATCAGACACATATGAGTTTAATACTAAATATCATGTTGATGCTTACTATAAAAAATCAAGTATTTATTTAATGACATATAAGACGAATAAACAATCTGTCAGTTAACCGTCTCATCTGCAAATAATTTTTTTTTTGTACATGAAAACTTAACTAAACTACTAATTCATATTCGTGTAGAAACTAGATACTACAGAGAAAATATTTTTAGAGCAAATCTTACAACAGCAAAATTTAAATGTTTTCGACATAATCTATGTTGACATATTTCCTGATGTACTAGATGACATTAATCAATAAAAAGTCGTAAATAATAGAAACGAAACATGATGTTTTCAACTATCGAAATGTTAATGAACTAGTTAAATCGATAAACATATGAAACATCAGACAGAATTTTAAAATCTTCAGACTAAAACAAAATATTTAAACAATTTTTGTACGACTGAGAAGGAAAAGTAGATAAATACGTGAATAAAATATGTATGGTGTGACTAGTAGTCTACTCCAGGACTTCCTAATAACAGATCAGAAGTTCTAACCAACCGTAGAAGAGAAAAGGGTTAGAAGAGATTAGATCTCAAGCATGTAAAAATTGAATGTTTAGTTTTTAGTTAAATTGAATATGAAGAAAATCTTAATTATCGTCCAGCGTTAACCTATAGTTTACGATTAGACTTACGTCATTTTGATCATTATGTGAATAACTGTTCGTGTTTAATTGTAAATTGTGTAGTGATCTTGTTGTAGACATATCTGATGTAAATCCATTTTGATTCGGTAATAATGGATATTGTCGACCATAATCAACAGTACCGGCGTCTGTATTGTTGTTTAAACGGTCTTGATCACGATTATAGTAGGCAATTGTTGTTGATGAACTAGCATGGGTTAGAACTGGTGCTGTCAGATGTGACAGATGATGTGAATTTGTTAATGCTTCGCTTGAATTTGTTGTCATTGCGTTGCACGATTATGCTAATAAATAGAATTCCATAAATTATAAACACGATCTAATTATTCATACATGAAAAATATGTTACTAAAGAAGAAAACATATATGATAATCTTCATAATGGAAGTAAGCATCTTTGGAAGTAGCAGTTATTTGGTAAGCTTCTTTTTTTTTTTGTATTTTCCCAAATAGTCAGACATGTGTCTTTTCTTTATCTTTTTATTTTCATCTCAAAGGAAATATGTTAGTCGGTTTAATAATGGCATCACAAGACAATTAACATAGGATAAATGAATATAAAGCATAACAAAACCTTGTAACGTTATCTGTGGATAAATCTATCTGAAGAAAATGTATTTTGAACAAAAACTGACTTTAATGCCATTGCATAGTTTTTTTTACAAGTTTTTTTTTTTTTTGCGTTCTGCAAAAATAATTTTTTCATTTTTCTTACAAAGTGACATAAACACACATAACAAACACACACACACACACGCACACACACACATACACATACACAACGCAATTGTTTTCTTTCTCTTCTATTCATATATCTCTATTTACATGTATTCGACATTTTAAAAAAAGAGAAAGAAAGATTTTGACAGCAGAAAAAAATAAAATTGCTGTGATTTATCTTATATTTTTTATTAATGTTTGTTACGGGTGTATAACAACGTTGTGGAATTGGTGCAATACAAAAAAGAAATGGAGAAAAAAACTACTTTAGCAACTATAAACAGTATTTTACTGGATGTTACTCAGTATAATAGAGAGGTTTTTATGTTTTCATCATGCATATATACTCAAAGGCTTCTCTTGATTGAAAATGCATATAACTCATGGAAAAGTTAGCTAACTAAAGATTTTAGTTACGTACTTCTTGACAACGAAAAAATATTTATTAAATTAAATTGTGATGAAAGAATAAACAAATATTTCAGTTTTTCATCACGTTTAAAAATAACACTATTCAACATCTGGTTATTTTCAATTGTGCACTCTTTCAGCATCTTTAATATTTTGAGTTTTAAACGATAAATAAATGTTTTTATACAATTAAAATAATTGTTATACGATGTAGTCTCTTTTTACAACTTTTTTTTTCTATCTTGCAAAAAAACACACTTGTAATGAAATATAAAACACAGTTTTAGTTGATGATAGTTTTCTGTAGACTATATTTAGTATGTATATATATATATATATATATAGGCCACAATATCGTGCATACGTCTTAACTACCAGATGTTTTCTCTTTTGTTTGTTTTACTGTTCCTCTTGAAAAATTAATAGTATCTAGTGGTAAAGGAAAAGTGTATTGCTATCTTCTTCATTACATTGAAAAAAAATGTACACATACACAAAAAAAAAAAAAAACACCACTATGAAGCCAAACGAAAGCATTAATTGACGTCAATTATGGCCATAGTTCTGAAAATAGAATAAGCAAAAAAGATGTGTTTGAGATAAAATGATGAGAAAACTGGAGAGTGAAAGAAAAATAAAGAAGAAAAGATAATCATTCTATCTACTGATGATGAAAGTATAAGAAAAAGAATAGAGTTGCAATGAATTTAGCTTAAAACGTGAACATTGTATTTGTGTGACAGAATCGAGAAAAAAAATTATAAATAAACAATATTTCAACATCATTATTAGCAAAATAACTAAAATTAACTAGATTTAGGCTCAAAAACACTATATAGAAAGTTTCTTTACGAATAAAGTATAAGGGTTACTAACTTTGTAACTGGTGACAGAATAAATGATCTTCTTCGTATTATTTGCATAATTTTCTTATTTTTTATCGCGTCGATCTGAACTTTTCTAGAAAGATTTGCTATTGCATTTTTTACAAAAAACATACTGTTTTTTTTGCATTTAATGTAAAAATAAAAAAATATGAAGAAATTTTACTATAAAGCTTCGATAATTTTCTAATCCAAAATACAGAAAAGTTTTATCAACAATTTATATTTGAAACTTTTCATAGTGTCCGTAGCGTTTTTCTTTCATTGTCAAAAATCATCCTTATCAAATTGCAGTTTTGTGGCCATTGGGAAGTCTTTCATAACTCGACTAAAATCAAACACTTTGAGGTCGGATTTGTTTTATCTTAAAGCAGAATAATCCTTCTATATCACATCCAAAACAGAGAAAGTTAAATATTTTCTGTTTCCGCTCCTGTGCCAAGACAAAACAGGCAAATGTGCTCTTTTTCTGATAACTTTTTGATACAACCGGCTTTTGTGCCAAAACACACTAACCTATAATAAATACATGAAAAGACAAACTTCAGAGCACTAGAACATACATTCTGATTAAACTTTGTTGCATGTTTTCAAAATAATTTTTTTCGTTGTGTATTGAATTAGAAAACTATCGGAATTGAAGCTTCACGATATTTCCGTTCATATTTTTTTATTTTTACATTAAATGCTCAGTATGCTTTTTGTAGAAAATACAATGGCAATTTTTTTTTAAAAAGTTCAAGTCGACACCATAAAAAATAAGAAAATTATGCAAAAAATACGAAGAAGATCATTTATTCTGTGTCACCCGTTATACAGAAGTATGTGACTTCTTGTAAATTTTCAAAAATACGTTCATCTATTTTCATTTCAGTTCTTCCTCTGCTCTTAATATGGCAGAAAAATGGATTCTTATTTTAGAATTCTGGAGCATGATCTAATAAGATATTCTATGGTGCTAACAATTTCTATTCAAACCTTAATAGTATTATCAGTCAAAACCATAGTTAATTTACTCACTCATTGTATACAGTAAAATTTCTCACAGGAAACATTTTTGATTAAAAAATGTTTTGGGGGAAAAATATGATCATCTTGAGAAAGCATTTTATTACATTTATTTATTTTTCTCGTGAATGACAGCCATAACCAACAGATGCGCAAATTCATCCTTGAGTCTAATAGGAAAAAAGTTCGAAACTATAATAAGTTTAAACATCTTTATACTAATACGTAAACAATAGTGTAAAACAAAATCCAGATTCAAGAATTATCCAAGATGTTGAGTAGCACAAAATAAAAAAACTTCAAGATTTTTAGTTTTTGAAATGCCTTAAATTTATTACATTTCATTAAATTTTGCTATATGCTAGGTTCAGGTGTCAGATCTACATTATACATGTACTTTTCAGGTCTAAAATATTATTCAAAACACAGTTCGAATTTCAAATTTGTGAAAATGGTATAATTTACGTTTTTAAATTCTAATTCAACGTTCGGATTTCTTGACTTCTAGGTACACGTTTTGTCGAACTATGCAAAAAGCTTTAAAATTTACATTTTCCAGCAAAAGCAAACTAAATATATTACAGAACTTCCGCGCAAATTCTAAATCTGTCCATCTGTGAATATCTTTCAGCTTTGCGTATGCCGAATAAGAAGGTCAATTATCCGCTTTCTTTATGCCTGCATACGACCTTACTATTAGTCAGTTTTAAATATCCAATACTATCATAAGATAGACAAAATCAGCTAGAATCAGGCATACACCCAATAATTGACTAAGGATGTTATATTTTTTCAAAAAACTGGTGTTTCGTAAATTGCTTCGTTAAAAATTTTCTGACTCCGTAAGAATGTAGAGCAAACATTTCTCTACAAAATGAGAGGTTGGACAACTCGGTGTGATTTGTTTTGCGATTTCTGCAGCGAAATCCCCTAAGGGACTAACCGAGTATTCGATACTCGTTTACTACTCAATTATGTGTTCTTGAGGTATCGCAACCAAAATGTTAAAACAAATCATGCAGAGTTGTCCAACCTCTCATTTTGTAGAGAAATGTTCTTGTTCTATATTCTTACAGAGTCAGAAAATTTTTAACGAAGCAATTTACGAAACGCCAGATTTTGGAAAAAATTTAAAATCCTTAGTCAATTACTTGGTGCATGATCAATATTATGAGATGAGGAATAAAACAGAGTTTATAGTCGAGAAAGGGTCTCTTCTTAAGGAAAAAAGACAAATTTTGGTAAAAGCCATTCGCGTAAAAACAACTTCATCAATATTGTAAATGTTGATTATTTATCAGTCTTAGATCATGTATTGTGTTTTACATATGTATAGAAGCGACTTCTTTTATGTTAATAGTTTGAAAGAAAAAATAATTATAAATCGATGTCAGATATTATTATCTATTTGTTATTTGTTATATATTATTTATTTTCTTCTTCTTTCCTTATTTTTCTTATATCTACTTCAATGGTTTTTTATATTTGTATTTGGCTACCGCGGCCGACGTTCATTCAGTAGAATGTATTATTGATTAACTTCTTTTGTGGAATTATTTAGAATAGAAGCAATAACGCAAACATAGTTGTTGAATTGAATAGTTGATTGTTGATTAAATGCAAATGTTTTTTTGTTATTTAAAAGTGGTGAATAAGCAAGAGTGGCTAAAAGTTGAAGACACGTTCGACTTGAAGACTTTTTTCAAACATGAACGAAAAGAGGGAACAGTTAGCATATATATATATATAGATATGAATAGATAACAAGAGTGATATGGAATTAAACAGACCAGTTGTGAACAAAAGGTGAAAGGGAAAACTAAATGAAGAAGAGAGGAATGTTTTCTTCTTCTGGTTGAAAGTATATTATACACGTACACACACACACAGAAAAAAATCTGCACGTTCAAAACCCGTTTCTATATCTATATTTGTTTAGAATTAATTCTTTTGTCTAATGTAATTAATGTAACGGCTTAGGACAAGTTGAATTTTGTGTACCTAGTATTGCTCCCGGTCGAAAAACGATGTTTGTTGATTGATATAATTACTTTCAACAGTGATGATGGTGAGATCATTCGCAGAACGCTTGGGTAGATTGACGTGGACAACTATTAATAGTTCTTCTAATTTATGTAAACGTACACAACAGAATAATCAAATAAGAATCGTTGTAGCTTTTACTTCACGTGGCTGATGGACTGCATGGTGAGTTACCGTTTTTGGTGTGTAAATAATTTCTGTTCCACTACAGAGTAAAAATCAGCATATAGACTATTATCCATTTCAAACAACGGTGCCTGTGGGTATTTTTTGAATAACTTTTGATAGGAATGAGATAGAGACCTGCGGTATTCACCATCATGTTGCTAAGATTTTAAAACATGCTCTTGTAAGCAGAAACTTGTTTCAAAATCTTCTGGAAGTCCGATTTTCCACAGGATTTTTGGAAAACCAGCTCCATTCTCAGAAAACTAACATACAGAGTTAGTAATTTTTTTGCATGAGTTCAGACGTGACTCTACAAAATGATGCATGCTCGCCAGCTATCGTCGTTCGAACAAGGCACGCTTTCCTCAAGCAGCCATCTCTGGGAATCTCGAAATGCCACGAAATATAGGTAATCGACTACGCTGAGTATGGTGGCAACATTTGCTTTTGTGTAGAAATGAAAATAACTTTGCCAGAGGCATTTTTATGAAAAACTGGTTTTGCGCCTGTTACCAACAAAACTTAAAATCCTTATATTTCGGTCAAATCTCATGCTGACGCAAGGAAACTTTCAGAAAACGCTCAGGACAGCTCATAAATCATAGTCGAAGACGAAAAAGTGAATTTCAGTTGCGCCTTTGGTTAAGGTTTTTCAGGACGTTTCTGGAAAAACGTTGTAGAGTAACGTCTGAACTCATGCAAAAAAATTACTAACTTTGTATGTTAGTTTGTTTGAAATGGATAATAGTTTATTTCAAGTTGACGGCTTGTCCAAGCGTGACGCTGTGACATTTTTGATACAGTAATTGGAGCTTTTCTCAAAAAGTGTAAGAGCTAGAAACTTTGTTCTTGCGCCATTCGACGCAGCTCGCCATACTCTACTTTGGGTATAAAAATGAAGGTATGTGGTTAAAGATTCGAATTTTTAGAACCGTTTTTTCGGCGCGTGACGCCGTGATAAAAAAGCCCCTAAATTCGAAGCTCTTCTCATTAAAAGCTAATTTGGTGCGAATTTAGAAGAGCTAATAAAAAGCGCCTCGAGCAAAGTTTGTAGAGGAGTAAATGAGCTACTGATTGCTAAAAAAGAATCTTTCCAATGAGCTTTCTATCCCCCAGTAATTATGTTTTATCATTGTGGCGCTGTGACACACTTTTTTCCCAACACAGTTTGGAGCACTAAACATTGCTCAAAGAATTTCATTTTCACATTGGACTTAGTTTTAGGCATCTAATATACACTAACGCGAAAATAAAGCTGAAAAAATGTTTTCACTTTCTTAGAATTGTGTGAGAATCTTAAAACTTAAAACTTTATTAAAATGCTTGTTTTGAGTCTAAACTTCAAAAGAAATATACCATCTTGTAGAGAATCGAATTCTCTATCGATTAGTGTAGCCTTCTATTTTTATTAGGAAAAGTGTCTTGGTGAGGAAATTGAAAATACAGTTTACAAAAAATGTAAAACTGCATTTTTAGTGCCAAAATTTGACTTTTTAAACAAATAATGTGAGATTCACAATCGGCACCAAAAATTGTATCTAGTGATATGCTCCTTTCAGTTCTATTCTCAAATAACTTTTTCAAAACTTGATCAGCGAAGTGTCGAGTTACGTGGATAAGCCGTTAAGTTTGATTATCTCAAGAAAAAGAACATGGATGTTTCTTAGTTTTTCTGTCTGAGGAAAAGTTAAGATTGCAATGTGCTAAAATTTCTTCTCGACTTCAGATCATCTCTGTGCTTAGCCAAGGCTCCGCTGTCTCCTCCTGTTGTACATATGTCAATTGAAGATAGAGAAATTGCTGCTTTCCTCCATTGTTACAGAAAGCAGTTAGAGACAGCAACATACGTAACCTTTGAGAATGCACTGTTTAGCGTACCTTGCTTGAGGACACATATTTCCATGACACATTTTTGGACGCATGGAGTGCGTCGAGACATTCCAGGACACATATAATGCAGTCATAGCATAGCAGTTTTCTCTAATATCAAATATTACCCATGTACTGGATACACATGTGATAAATGTTGGCTGAAAATCCACGGCATAGCTCGGTATCGCAGCCGACATGTTGGTCGATATGTCGAGAAGTCGCCGACTTTTTAGGATTTTGGACGACAAGTCACGACTTGTCGATGATTTTTTTGTTTCGTTTTGCTCCTTATAATTCACAGATTCCGAGTTCAAATCTGCCCCAAGAACAGCTTTTTTAGTTTTGATGGTACATTGATAGTTTGCACTATCTTGTGATAGTGCTGCCAACTGAAGTCGAAGTTCTACCTTCGACTAACTGGCCTACAGCCTTGAGCCAGTCAAGGCCCTACCACTAGCAGCCAAACATGACCTTATCACCGAAAACTAATCTAAAAAATATACCAATTTTTCTTGAAATTCTGTGTTTATTCTATACTTGTCCCACTGCAAAACAAAACGGTGAATGAATAGAAAGCCGATTCGTCGTCGACTTGAGCGACTTTTGAAAAAAATCAAAATCGACGACAAATCGTGACATTATAAAAAGTCGATTAAGACATATTCTGCATAAATTTTTTTTTTAAAATTATAATCCATTTTCCACGCATATCTGAAAATCATTTGTTTAGAAAGTGTTTCAACAGAGAGATATGGCATTTTCATGTTTACCCATGTCTTACGATACCCTAATACAAAAGGTTAATTTTCATTACCGAGACCAGTGCCCTAAGATCAATTGATGCTATAAAAAGAATCAACGAAAGTTTCCTGTACAGCAGTATAGAAAGAATTCTCGACGGACAGATTGCAATTTTCTATGAAAAGTGGACATGGTCCTTCGAAATTTAGAAGACAGTGACGTGATTCAAATCAGTTTTTCGTCTTGATTCTACCGTTAAACTGACTGGAATGAATCGAGTGCTTACTCTCAAACTACAACTAAGAGACTCTCTTGCAAACAAATAGCTAAAGTGGTTTGAGTAAGGCGCACCTGGTTGTTTGATGAATATTAGTTAGATATTAAAACAAATATTTGAGGAGAAACTGCCTACATTAGAGTTTGGCTATGATCGTCATTCGGGAAACAAACAAATAGAGAAATTGTTCCTGAGAAAATCAGAATTCTGCTCTTAAACCAATCAGGACACTGACTAGAAAATCAGTTACCTTTTCTTATCATTCTTCAGTGATCTAACCATACAACTGTGCATTGATAAAAATTAATCCTCATCCCAGCAAAAATACCAACAGGCTCACCAGTAAAAACACAAATCTTCAGTGCACACAAAGTTCCCACAACTTTTCCAAAACCAGCAGAATAGACAATATTCTTGCATAATTTAGCTATCTTCCGTAAAATTCCGGTTGGGTTGCCCGAATTTTGACAAAATTTTTGGAACATTTTGCAAAATTCTGGGAAATTTTTTGTAGTTGAGCTTGGTGTTTTTTTTCACGATGGATGTTGAATGTTTAAAACTTGTCGATAGGATAGAGACTTTTTCATTTGATGAGGATAAATTTTTACCAATGCACACTCCTCTCTAATCAGGTCATTTGATCATTTACTGATTTGTAATAAGACTAGTTATTGATGTCATGACCAAGATCCTGATCTTGATCCGGCCATCTGATCTTTTAATGGGGTAAATACTAAATTCTTTTTTATATTATTATCTGAATTCTAAAAAGATAAATCTATCCAAATCGACTAGGATACTCAAGCTGCATTAATATGTTTTAAAATTTCATCTAAAAAATTGTACAGTGAATATTCAAGTTCTGTTAGATATCGTATTATAAGACCGTTTAACCGTTTTTTTTCACAATTTTTCATATAGAAAGCCCGTCCTCCACAATTTTAAAGAATGAATCATACTTTGGATAGTCCATGAATTATAGACATTTTAATTATTGTTTTATTATATTTGTATTATGATTCCGTTTATTTTATTTTTATATATTTGATTTATTGCGTATACATACGAACAACGGAGAATACAAGTTATTGTAGTAAATAGCCAGCTTATCGTAAAGAACACATAACATACATAGTTCTTAATAATAACGGAATAATTCAGTTAAGGTTAGTATACGATAATCGAATTTCGTCCTAGTTTTATCATAGATGAGCGCACTCTTTCGTTTGTTCTCATGTATATAGTTTGTACAATCACTGGTTACGTTAAAGCAGAGATCATAATGTCCAGTAAAACTATTGGTTATTTTCAAAGTATAATGTTTGTAAATTTTTACTCAGAAAAGAAAGCGAACTTTCTGATCATGGTTGAAATGAACTATTATGAGGAAATGCTTACAGAGGTAGACAGGATTGCGATTTGGATTAGAGTGAACTTCGAAAAGTGGAAACAGTTAAAAATTAAAAAACTAAATATAGAAAGTTCTTGACAGGAATTTTCTCCGTTCAAGTTAACTGGCGTTAGTAAATTGTATATCCTCTATGTTATTCAGCATCAATCGTTAGAATTTCATCTGCTCTTGTTTCTAGGCAATCCATGCTGATCATAGACTGTTTTTCTTTTCAGTTAATTTTTCTTAGCCAATCAACCTTAAAAAACATACGAACAATGACTGACTTCCACAAGGTGTTCAGCATTTATCACGAAAATCTGACACAGACACAATCTCAACAAACGTTTTCAGAAATAAAACGAGCGAATGCAAGTAAGATGTTTCCTTATTAATAAACAGACTATAGAATCAATTTATTTTTTTCTCACTCTAATATTAGGCATTAATCAAGATTATAGTAAAGATTTTGTTCGTATTACAATTAAAATTCCTCAGATGAAAACAAGTTTTAACTTACGAAAACTTCGGCGGGAACCAAAGAATGGACTTCCCACGGAAACACAGTACCATAGAAAGTATGTTGATCACTAATAACAGATGATAGTAAAAACCAGAGAAGGAGACTATCCGATTCTTCTTTTCTTCTAGTCGAATTACTTTTGAATTCATATTAAATCACGGTAAATCAAATGAATTAAAATATCAATATTCTAATCGAGAAGTATTTCGTGGTCCAATTGAATATAAGAAGAGTTATTTGAAATATCGAGACGAGTATGTTTCATGGTTTATTCATAAAACAGAATCATGGTAATTTTGTTAAACATTTATTTTAAAAAAAAGATAATTTTGAGTTTTAAGTATCCGTCCGTCATGCCAGATATTTGCACTGAATCGATCAAAAATAATTAGAACAAAATTTGACAGTCAATAATAGTACTTAAAATTACTTTTCTAGCCTTAAACTAATCTAAAATGTCAGATTGGTATTTGTCCATAATCCTCTCTAAAACTCATTCCATTTTAAGTCAGAATGAGCTTAAAAAAATTGTTTTTCAATATTATTTTAGTATTGTTTTTTTAAATTTTATGTACGAACAGAGACAACGATGCTTTTTTCTCAAAATGGGTTTTCTACAATGTTTTCTTTTTTTTTTGAAATATATTGTTTTATTTTGGCAATCTTATTACCAATGTGAAAAATTTCACAGTATGTCCATATTTATCACATTCTCTTGTGTATTTTTTTCCGAATTTTATAATGCCAAAATGTGAGAAAAGTCGAAGTGAAACTAAGTAAATTAATCCATGGAAAGAAATGAGTGGACTTTAATGTAGTGTGCTTGAGAATAAATGAAAGACAACTGGTGTACTTCAACTTTCACTTTATCTTTAATTAAATAGTCTGTTATTCTCATATTATATTTTATATCATCAATAACAAGTAGAGCAAAAACTCTGATAAGGCTGTGCACATTTATAAATAAACAAACAAAACAAGTGCTAAACTTGCGAATTAAAACAGTGAAGTAGAGAAAAAAAAATATAGAAAACATTTATGTACAAAAATGTAACTCGTGAAAATCTGTATGAATACAGATTTTTTATTAAAATAGAGGTATGATCATTGTGAGTGAGATGAATGCGTGAGAAAGATCACAAATGTGAAAAAACAGTGTAGAAATAAGAAAATGCCTAGATGTTTGACTCTACCAGTTAGAAGCTCAACTAAAATGCAAAGATATAATGAATAGAATGTATCTTAAAATGTACTTAAACTTCACAAAAGTAAAATAAACGAAATCACTAATCTTTGTTACCTTTTTGTTATTAACTACTAGTTGTACCAATTATTTCTCGACTCTAATAGGGAATGTTGGGCGCTGATGGTATAGGTATCGATCCATTTGAACGATAATCTTTTAAAATATGATTACGTACAGTATCAAAATTATTAGTATTATTATTCACGTTCAGATTTTTTTTAATAAGTGGTGGTGGTTCAACTTGTGGTTGTTTTTCACGTTCTTTATCTTGCACTTGTTTAAAATATTGTTCAGCGCCGGGTAATGCTCGTTGATGTAGTTCTACTTTTTGACTAATACCAAAACGGGCTTTACATTCACCACGTGTTACACGATATATACCTCGTGCATCTTTACGAAAACCCTTATCACGTGGAAATAAATCTTCCAAATCACCAAATTCCAAGTTCAATAATTCTTGTTGATCTTTAAATACTTTTAAACGAATTTCACCAAAAAAATAACTTTTTATTTCAAATGTGCCTTTGTATTCATCTTCTTGGACAACTAATTCAGCAGTGGTTTGCGATAGACTAGGTATCTGAATAAATAAATGAACTTTTTCTTAAAGTTTTTATCTAATAACGACAGTTACAGGTTAAAGATGAGCAAAATGGAATTTTCGAACATGTCGTCTTTCTTGTAACATTTTCACAAGATGAGACCTTTTGGCCCATCTCTATTAGAGATAGATTCCTGATGAAGTTAATATAATAAAAAAAAAGTCAAGTTTTTCTTTTTACTACTAGGCACTCAAAATCTCTAGCAATGATTGTGCTTGTTTCATCATTATTAATTCCCTACTGGAACTACTAGAATTTATGTTTCAAAGTTTAGAGAACTCATAAATCAATCAGATAAAACTGTATATAATTAACAATCTAATGATGACAGATAGCTACACTTCTGGCATTTGCTCATCGTATAAAACGCCTGACTCATACAACTATACAACAGATCCTTTTCTCCAAGGAGAAAGCATCACTTAGTGCTGGCAGATGCTACCTTACTATTTTCTGTTTAATTTCTGTGGTAATTAAAAACGGCACATTGCAGCGTTTTCTTACACAGTTCATATGGCATTGTACACTAAAAGTATCATTCTTTGGTGTTTTTATGTATCGTCAACTTTCTTATCCGAATGGACAATGCATTAATTTATGCTCTCTTTGAAAAAAAGATTTTCATTTAGATTTGTTAGTTCGGTAGTATGATGCCATACAAATGCGATTTATATTAGAATTTGCCTTTTCTCATGATTCCAACTTCATCATTAGAATGGATTTCGCTTCGAATTCACACTATGATGATTCATTGATTCATCAAGATATTAGTCGTCAAACTATATTTTATTTGTACTCGACTGAAAGAGAAATAAAATATTGTCAATAAGAGACTTTTTTCGTTTTTTTAACAAACATTTATGATTATGATTCGCAAAAACATAATTGTTTTGTAGGCGGTTACTATTCATACCATTCTAATAATAGAACAACGAAGCATATGATACATTAAAAATTCTTCCATCAAATCTCCTCAAAAACGTGTAGATGACATTAGTAATCACTGGTGCACACATAAAAAATAGATGGCGTCAGATACTAGCGAACATTAACAGTATGGCTTGTCAACAAAATGTTTTAGCCGAATGGGTGCTGAATTCTAGGCAAGGGGAACAAAACTGATTTTAATCTCTAAAATGTCTCCAAATCTTTTAAAATCTTGTTAAAATCCCCCTAAATCTGGGGGAAAACTGATTTAAAGATTTTAAAGATTTTAAAAGATTTGGAGACATTTTAGAGATCAAAATCAGTTTTGTTCCCCTTCCAAATCTTGTTCAGATCCCTCCAAATCTCTTGAAATCTTCAAAATCCTCAAATCAGTTTTGTTCCCCCTTGATTCTAGGTCGACTAGCATCTCAACTTTCAAAGTTATATATAGAGATTTAATATAGATAAATAGCCATTTGATATCGAGTAAATTTTATTCAATCTCACTTAAAATTGTCACTTTACCTCTGTATAGATCTCTGCATATCTGAGAACTGTAACTTGTTGGTTATATATCTATCTAACAATTTTCTCTTCTTGACTTACTTTAATATTACTTTCGACTGACCACGTTAATTCTTCTTCGATTTGTTTATCTCGACTTTGCTCTAATGTATACTCTCGTCGAAATCCTGTACTCGCTTCAATAACACATTTCGGCAATGGAACTTCTATTTCGAGATTCACCGATTGTTCCGTGGTATACCCTTCGAATATTGAAAAGGAACAAGTAGAAACTGTTCGTCGTTCTGCTCGTAAATTATATTCTTGTTCTCTTGTTGTATCATTTAAAAATGATGAACGAAATAATATATGATTTTTTGGTGTACCGGGTGTTTCTAAATCATGATATATAACAGGATCATGTCTAACTCTAGAAAAAAGCATATGTGTTGTATATTAATGATCAATTATTGACAATAATACAAACTTCAATGATCGCCAATCGATTTCTTTCACTAATTCTTTCCAATTATAAGTTTTTCCCCATTTTGCCTTCATGGAATCCTTCTCATTTTCTTTGTACCATTTATGTGCAGCAGTTTCGATCAAATCTTTTAAATTCACTAAACCCGTTTTGGTTTGTGGACTCTAAACAAGAAATAATATAGTATTTCATGAATTTCAACTTTTAATTGTGTTTATGAATGAGTAGATTATTAAATTCCAAAAAGAAGTGACATTATTATACATGAGTTGACCACAAGTAAAATATGTTATATCAAAAAGTATTGTAAGTAAGTTCAGAGAGAAAAGTTTTGTAATATGGAATTGAATATTGAAAAATAGTAATTAACTAAATACTTTAGTGCTGTTGTCAAGTATGCTCCCTAGACAAAATCCTACGCATTTCCTGTCTATTCCCTACTAGGATCTTACAGGATCCACATAAAACTTTGTAACAGGATCCTAAAATGCTAAGATCCAACTGAGATTTCGCTTAAGTTTGTGTAGGATCCTAACAGAATCTTAGAAAATCCTATGACTTACGAGTATACCTGATTTCATTAGGATTCTGTGGGCTTTTGTTAGAATTCTAAGAAATTAAAGCGAAATCCTAGTCGGATTGCGGCAGGATATGTCTCGGATTCTGTTAGGAAACTCATAGGGATTTAACTACGGTTAGACGTCAATCGGTGTATGATAAATGATATGGGAGGATTAATGTAAGCTAATGTGTTTGACATTATGCATGCAGTGTGATTTTTCCTCCTTATAAAGAAAGATAGACATTTATTGACAGCATTTCATTGTTTCCTCCCAAATCTGATTTGTGAGTACAAAAATTAGGTATAAAATTCGATGAAAAAAGCTCAGATTAGTGATTCTTTCGGATTCTCACAAGTATAAGATGTATTATTGCTAATTTTAAAGATCAGTCGGGTGTATTAAACTATGATACTAAATTTGACATACCTGTTGTAGATCTATAACTACCTTATCGATCATTTCCCGATCACTATTAGAACTAACAGATTTGTTAGCACCCATCTTAATCACTTAGTATAGAATATAGGTAATTTTAATTATTTTGTCTATAGTCTCTTTAACACGAATATTTATATTCTATAACTTCAATCACTATGATAGAATAAAAATGAAATTATTTATTAAGGTATTTATTATATAACCATATTAAAACAATCTTTTTTTGACGAATAGAATTGTTGTAATGTTATTTTCATGTTAAAACATAATTAGTGATCTGTTACATCCATTGGCTAGTACAGCAAATAGTAAAATAGAAAATCTGTTAATATCACTCACTCATTGACATTATACACATAGTGTCATTATTCATCTAAATTATTTTATTAGTTTTAATGATTCGATAAGGCGATGTTGAATGTACGAATCAAATATTAATAACATTCTGATTCACGTCACAAAAGGACGATTTTTGATCTCCATAAAAACATTCGTGAATCTGTCTACGGTATGATAACCTTGAATCTATCTTGAAATCGAGTAATCTTGTTTTGTAGAAAACTGAAATAATACAAATACTATTTGACCAAACAAATCTGATATGTCCGTCATACGTAACATTAATGTAGGAGCGACTCTCTAGGCTAAAATACAAGTCAATCTTGTCGAAACCAAGACCAATTGGCAATGAATACTAAATTAAAGACTATTTATTGTCGTTAGACTATATAAGTAAATGTGTTACTTTAAACTATCTGAAATTTATATATACACAAATAAGTGTGATACTATGAATAAACAGTCGACTGCTTCAGGTAATAATGGAACTTTTTTATTCATTGAATGAGAAACTAAATAATAGAAAGACAATTTAAATATAAAACCGTAACAAAGGAGATAATCTCTTCTATATTTATATTTATTTACATAAAACTATTTCATGATTTCTTCTTAAGTGAAGTCAAATTGTCGATCTTATTGTATCATGTGATATCGAGAGATGAATATTACATATTTCTAATATGTGATTAAATATGCATATTATTTACTAATTATCAGATCTAGACAATTTTTAGTTGTTAACATGTCATTTTGAAAAATGTTAATCAACAATCATAGTGTAGTTGAGTCAATGAAAGACTCTCTCATAAATCCGTCAATAATAAATAGCTAACTAATGATAGAACCACATTGTACATGTTACTATTATTTTTTGATTAAAGTACACACACACTTCATACTCAATTGTGAAAAAACTCAGTTAAAGATTCGTTTCAATGCACATGCCAATTTAATATTTGTTTTTTTCATGTCAACACATATAATTAGTTCTCATGTAATTAATTAACCTCCTTTGGGCATAAGAAATATTAGTCATTGGTCAAAACTACAATTACCGAACGTTCTATGAGTCATTCTACTATATAATATGATATCCTATATCAAGCGGTAGATAGTGCGTCGCATATTGATTTGATCCGATATGCGACTGATGATAAAATTAAAAATATTTGCTTATTTAACTAATACACTAACAATTTATCAATGTTAAATTTTAATCATTCACACACAGATTAAAACAAATACTTGTCGGTATTAACTTTCTACGAAGTCGAATAAAACAACAAAAGTATAACTACTGTGAAATAATCTAATTTACATTTTTAAATGTGATAAATGGAACAATATAAAGATCTGCTGGATATGTTTCTGTTAATTTTTTATCTCAGCATATATACAATCAATATTAAGATGAATATTTACTAATCAAATAGGCATACAAAAATTAGTTCAGATTCATAAATAGAGAGACCTGCAAGCTACAATTGTTAAAATGTATGAGTCTTACTCACACATCATTATCATCAACTATTCATAATTGATTCTACTGTTTAAACAACTTGTTGTTAAAGTTGTTTCAACTTTTTGTGTGACAAATTGATACAACGTGGAAAAATGCTAAAGTATGTTTGTTCGTAAATGCAAATGATTAATAAATTATAAAGGTTCGAGTATTTTATTTTTGAATAAGGAAATAATACATACTGCCTACAGATCAATACGTCAAGAAAATAAACATAAAAAAAGAAACAAAAATATCTCACGAGAACGTTAAATAAACGTTGTAGGTAAATAGTATTATTTTTGAATGACTAATATATTATTTTATAATAATGGCAAACTGGTATCTACTCTAATTGAGAAAAAGGCACCAAGTTTAACAAATACTTAACGAGAAGTTTTGAAGGTTTTGTGTCTAAATGTTTTATCTTGGTCGTACATCTATTTACTAAGAAGTAGAAAATTATAATAAAAGTTTACTGATATATATGTTGAATGTTTACATCTACTGTTTTTTCTCTAATATTTTTAATCATTAACAAACGTCAAAGCAGTCATAAATACGCTAATATATTTTTTGTTTTCATCAGTACCCGTTACTAATAAATTCTTATCGCATTTGTTTTCATCATTTACATACGTCTTGATACACACTATGACAGTCGTTATCGTTCATTGTAAACTATTGTCTATGATCATTTACTTATATTTCTCCTTATTTTTTATCTTTCTTTTGACACTAGCGTTTTTCATTATGAATAAGCAATGGCAAACGCAAATTTCAATATGAACAGATTTATTTTATTTACAGATCTAACATGGCACTTTGTATTTATTGAATAGCTTCAACATAGATTTTAAATATTCTGTTAAGACAAATTCAATAAACACACTAATGATTTGATATTCAAGAGTTTTGATCTCTCTCTAATATCTATCAATCCAAAAAATGAGCAAATATTGAATTAACAGTAATGATTTTCATTATTCAAGTGGATCATTTAAGAAAAGATTTCGTTCTACAGCAATTGCTGTAGAATCTGACAGTTACCATACAATTTCACATTAGGAACAGAAGAATTGTTATAATATGAGAAGAAAAGAATCTAAAAACAATGTGCTGGATGTGATATGTTAGAAATAAGTATTTTTAATTTTTCATATATAAATATCATATATTCATCCATATATAGACATCATGCCAATGGGACATACGTATTTATTTTCTTTCGTTGAAAACTCAGTAAAGTTTACATTTCTACTAGAGAAAATTAAAGTAGAAATGTCTGCATATGTGGTAAATTATGTAATCTCAATAATTTAGACTAAACGATGTTAAATTTACTTCAAAGACAGTCAGAACGGGATCACAATATGGTGAGAGCATACTGAGGTGCAAGAGAGAGTTTAAAAACAAAAACACAATCTTAATAGAATTCTACAAGATCCTACTAAACAAAGAAAATCATAGGAATCCTGTTATAGGATCCTATGAAACTCTAGATAATCTTATCACAGAAGCTCATGTAATTCCTATTATAGATTCGTGTGGTATTTCTTATAGGATCCTATTATCAGAATCCTGCATGAATCTAGTACAGAAATCCATATTAAAACAATTACAATTGGATAATGAGTCACGTTTTACCTCACAAGATTTGTGAGTAACTATATAAAAAGTTCTTCTGTAATTACTTCCACAACCTTATCAACAGAGATATGAAAAAGGTCTGATATGAAATGGTGGATTATAATGTCAAAATAGAATATGTTTTAGGATATTGATCAAGAAACAAAGGTGATGATATTCTGTAATATCTTATGCTATCACGCTTGAATCTACAAAATCCTAGGTAGGACCTTGTTGCAAGAATCCTACATCATTTCCCATTTTAAGAAGGTAGACGTTTTTCCTGTATGATCGTATCTGATTTCATCGAACCAGATAAAATTAGCTAAGATCCTAATATATGATCTGATAAGATCTTATATGACCGCATACGATCCTATCATAGGATTTGATAACGTATGCACATATGAAAGAACGAGGAGTATCAAAGGGATAAGAAAAAGAAATATATGTCTTATTTGCGTGAATCTTATAATCTAATCCTTTTTTATCGTTATGAATATCGTAGTTTATCTAATTCGTTATAAGCACCAAAAATAGAATCATTTCCATTCAATCATCTTTTATCTCTTGCAATTATGATCGAATTTCTGCTATCGTTTTTTCTTCTAGATAAATTTTGTCACTTAATCAATCAAATTTGACTCACCTCTCTACTTTAAATTCTTAGAAAAAATATCACCAATTGTTCCTCTACTATCTGCCCTTCCATTCACTTTTCTTCACTTACAAAACACTCCTTATGCTGTATATAAAGCATGGCAATAGAAGCCATTCATTGATTTGTAGATTCGATTAGCAATTACATATGTAGCTAGAACATTATGCTTAATCGAGAACTTTAATAATAGTTATAATAAAGTTTAACATTAAAGTTTCGATAGATAATGCACTTGTGAACAATATATCTTATGTGTGTGTTTGTATTTGTTTGTTATCAATACACAAATAAAACAGTCAAATGAAATTTTTATTATCATTATTAGTCGAACTGGTGTTTCGTCTTTATAGACTGATAAACTAACTGTATTACGTTCAAATTGAGTCATGCAATAATCACGTGGAAGAGAATAATTTAATGTATGATATCAGTTAAAAATTATGACGACTAAGAACGAGATTAAAATGGAGAACAATATGTTCTGACCAATAAGTTCTGTATCTGAAGAAAAGTATTTTTTGTTATTATTTATTATTAACTTCGTCATACTCGATGTTTGTACCTTTACAAAAACTGATCTCATTTCATCATCAGTAAATTTCGTAGTTTAGTAATAACGTTAAAAGTTTCATTACGGTTTCAAGGAAAAAGCGTTATCAACAATCATAGATATAAGCATTGTAGCAGAGCTAAGCAGCAAATAGTTTCAATGACTTTACCGCTCTAATAGGAGGTGTCTGAAATAAAATAGAATAAAATTCAACAAGTGTTACTACATAAAATTATTATTTAAAACTCTGTTTGTGGAGGTTTTCGCTTGACGTATCCCATCTGAGATGGAATTGTATGAAAAAAGTGTACACCGAAGATTTCAGATTGAAACTTGTA